CAATTTCATCTTTAGCGATTTGTCATCAAACAAACTGTTTATTATTTGAACAATTAACATGTTTTCGTCGGGGTTTTTTTAACATACCAGTAGTTAAATATATAGAAAAAAACAATAAGCAGGACAGTCCGTTTTTGCATCGCCAAACCAGATGCTCGTTAGATAAAAAAAAATAATGTCATAATGATTTTATGCAAACCTGCCTTGTTACTGCAAAAGCCTACTTTTTAAACAAATTAGTTTCAATCAAAACTATTCGTGTGATGCCACTGCGCAATACACACACACACACACATTACCGCGGGATGGCGGGTGTTCATTTCATAAACTGTGGACAATGGTAGCTTATTTAATGTAGCCTATAAATGAATGTATTGTCCAAAAAACTGATAATGTCATCATACTTGTAGTGCTATCGTCGAGTAATAATCTGTTTGGTTGTAAAATGTATTACCTGAATGAAATGAACTAGAATGTATCGTCCTGTGGAATCATTCATTCACAGACATCATACGAAGATGTTCAACTAGATCTTCATCGCTGGCAAAAATATGATGCATTTGCAGATTTGCTTTCACTAGACTAAACTGTAGGTCCACGGCCACTTCATCCAACGCTCTTGATGTTCTTAAATCTTCCTGCTACGACTCCGTGTCGAGTGTGAATTGAAAGCGCTTCAGACGATTCAGTGCGCGAGGAACTGAACAGATCATTCAAACTGATTCGCGAACCGATTTAGACAGATCTGCCAACTTGTTTGATGAAGTCTTTGAACAGAATCGACTCAAAAGAGTGATTCATTTGTGAATGGAGCATCGCTCATGCCCATAAAAAAGACACAGCGCGCTTGGAATAAACTACGCATTTAACAACATGTTTGCATTAAAATAAAGTAACGAGAGGAACGTCGCCCAACGTAGTGAAGTAAATGTAGATTACTTTGTTACTACCATAGACGGTTACTACCAGAGACAGTAAAGGTTAGTCTACTACCCACCTCTGTTGGGCGCAGAGTTAACGGTCACGTGACGACAATGCTCTTCTTCTGTTGTTTGTTTACACTATAAAACACTGGTATCCTAGATCGCGCAGGAGGGGGTTTCATTCATGTTAGTGACGCCTTGTGTCCCTGACAGGAAAATACCCCGCTGCGCGATCTGTGACAGTATATGCGCGCCGTCAATTATGTCACATTGGAATTGCGCGAAAATATAACGATATTCGAATAAGCAATTTTATGATCGAATTTCGAACGCAGTTCGACTATTCGAAGATCGCGACTCATCCCTACTTGCGATTAATCGGAAAATGTTTACCCAGCCCTGTTTCTGCCAGTCACATCTTGGGGATTACAGTGAGATGTCTACCGTTATCAAACAGCACTTCTGGACAGTCCACTTTTCTGACAACTGAACAGACTAGAAATCAAAATCAGTCATGAAACCACAAATATGACACCTATGGCTCCTCAATCACCTCGACACAAAACCTTTCCTTTAACTATTCATACTGTTGGCAATCTCCATGCAATTCTGGGCACAAATTGCCTAGAGCCTCTCCACTCTCTACCGTTATTTTTCCTACCCCTCTCCTCCATCCCAATCATTCCTTCCATTTCCATCTCAGCTCCCGGTCCTCTCTTGCAGCCGGCGCGCTCGCACCTTGCCCCGCAGTGTGGCACAGGCATCACACTTCATTAGAGCAGAGCCATCAAATGAGCAGTGTTTTCTCTCTCACCTCAGTCGCTGTGTATCTCCATCACATCGCTCTCTCATTCTCTGAGCTATTCAGAGTAACTATTTTATGTTTTAACAGTTATGAGATAAGTTCCACCACCTAAAATGACCAAATAGAATAATTGTTATTGTATGGTGACAAATTAGCACTGCAGAATTTAGGGAGCTGCCTTGCTACGACCTATAAAATCAGCTCATTATTCATTACTTTTTGATATTGAGCAAAATAAGTAGGGCCAAAAAATTCTCCCCAACCATATTTTATGGAAGTATATCAGACCTGTAAACTCATGGAAAAAAGGATACAATTCTAGTCATAGATTTTTTTTTTTTAAAAGTGAAATACTTTATAAAATAAATTAAAAAATATTAGTCAGAGAAAAAAAATATATATATATACAGTATCAAACATCCTTACCCAGTAATCAGTGTTGGGGTAACGCATTACAAATCAGATTTCTTTTTTAACTATAAAAGTAAAGCAATACTTACAAATTTACATGGAAATATCTCAGTTACTTTTTCAAACAGTAAATTTTTTAACAATAAGTTATTAAAAAACAAACAAGCAAGTAAGCCCAGTCCAGATGAGCAAAATTTACATTATGCATTACTTTCCATAAAAAGTAACTAAGTATTGCAATTAGGTCATTAGCTTATTGTAATGCACTATGTTTAAAACTAAGTAACTTTCCCCAACACTGCCAGTGATCACAAATGACTGGAAAACTTCACTGGTCACAAAGTAGAGTGGGAAACCTGTAAATAGGTTTTGGAATAAAGCTATTGCTCGTCTCTTGTTTGCATCCAGTGTAGGACTAGAACTGAGAGTGAATCGGACAGCAATGACTCGTTCAAACTAACCAAGAAGCAGAATTCCACAGTCAGTCCGAGTCAACACTCAAATCAGAAGATCCTGTCATTTTGGTGTCAGCCAGTCTAGAAACTCCATAGCTAAGCAGGATTAAAGCAATGCATGCTTGTAAGAGATGGTCCCAAACTAAAGGAAGAGCGTTTTCAGGCAGTTTAACCAAGACAAATGGGTTCAGATAGGGCACATCTTGAATCTCATGAGTTAACGCCAAAGGGGGGTTGATTCCCAAGACAGAGGCCTAAAGCAGACATCCCTGTGAGACCTCTTTTTGAGTTTGCAGGACTGAAATCCTCTTTAAAATCTCCAGAGACTGCCTTTACATATCAAAATGCATCAGATCAATCCAAAACAATGCTAGACAGACTTATAATCAAACATTGATCAACTGCAAACTCTATTTCATGTCTAAAACCAATATACATATGTGACTATTATGCTTAGATCACACATACTTCATGCAATTGTTACTATTCAATGGTTTATTGGAGGTGTGTCTTGCTTACTATGTGTGAATGATTTCTTGAATTATGGTGTGGATCAAATCCATGTAAAATGTATTGTACTCTCATAAAATTCATATCTAAATCATACCCGGCTAGAGCTGGAAATTTAAGAGACCATGTGACTAATCCGATAACATGTAATTTGTGTGAGAGGAGGAGAAATAGTCACACCCTGAACCAAAGACAATACCTAATTGGTCAGAATCTCTAGGGGTTGGATAAACATCCGAGTTTAAAAACTCTGGACATGATCAAAGCATTAGATGAGATACTGTAAGTTAAAATGGGTTAAGACTGGTTATGGGATGAGGGATGAGGTTGGGGTCAGAGTCTAAAGCAGCATCACACAAGTTTCTGTGTATTAGAATAGTTCAATAAAGAGAAGTGTCTTGTGTTATGTGCTTACGAATATGGGGCCAGATTTACTAAACAGGGCAAATTAGCATGCGAGCGCAATTCCAAAATAGCGCCGATGGGAGTGGAAAGATCTGCGCTTGATCTACTGACGACACGCAAATAATAGATTTATAATATTTATCAAATAAATAAGGGCGATAAATAATGGAGCACATACCAGTTAACTGATGAGCGCATACCTTAGTAAATCACCTTGATTGATTCATTTAAATACTCTCCTCCCATAAATTTTGCATCTGAAAGGGAAACTCCAACAAATGCATATGCAATAAGGTCAGCCGCGAAAATAACCTTGTCCATGCCTTTTCAGCGCAATTTTTTGCTGACACGCAGTCTTTAGTAAATCCTGATAGTTTTTTGGTAAATCTGAAAACCAAATTTTTTGGTAAATCATCCACACTACTGCGTTTTAGTTTAGAAACGGATAATTAAAACGAATACGATCTCCGTCCACACCAGCGTTTTAGCTGCGTATTAGAATTGATCTCCGTCCACATTAAAACGACTGAAAACGCGGATCACGTGACCTTTCGCCAACACTGGGCATGCGCGCACCGGTGTAAACACAACTTCATTGATAAAATTAGCCCACCATGCTCTGGGTTAACCCCAAACCGACGCTCCATGTACGGTCAACGCCGCCGCTGCACACGGGAATTGTCACAGATCGCTCGAATAATAGCTTGACTCCGGCGCATGTAGGCAGTTATAGCGTTGTAAAATGCAGAATTTACTTGTACAACAGCTGCTAGCAAAGATATAGGCCTACGCCATGACTGATGACACCCAATCATAGAGCCGAGCGTGAGCCTCTACTACGTCATCGTTTCTAAAGTTCTCCGTTTTGACCAGTCTACACTAAAACGCCCTCCGGAGATTCAAAACGAAAAACGGGTCGGCAGCGTTTCTAAACTTCTCCGTTTTGGGTCTCCGTTTTTGCCGTTTTAGTGTGGACGGGAGGTGCAAACGTAGCAAAAGGTCTCCGTTTTTAAACGAAAACGCAGTAGTGTGGACAGGGCCTTATGCCGCGTTCCAGGCAACCCGTAACCCGTGTTTTTCCAACTCGTAACTGGGAGTACATCGATCTAGTACGAGTTCACAGATGGGAAGTCACGGGTTTGACTGCCGTTCCAGTGCACTTTCACGGGTATAAGGTTGGAAAAACACGGGTTACAGGTTGCCTGGAACGATGTACTCCCAGTTACGAGTTGGAAAAACACAGGTTACAGGTTGCCTGGAACGCGGCATAAAACTGCTGATCTTGTTACCGTGCTAATAAATAGTGTTTTCACTATAGTTTGGATATTACTATCCGCTGCAGAGTTAGTTGCGGCCCATTCAATTGAGCGCTGGACGATTCATTTGTTCGGCCGTAAAATAAGTGATTCTGTCAAAATACCCTATAAAACCCTATAATAATTCCCTTTGAGCTAAACTGACCTGTTTCCCTTTACACCAGCGAATCAAAGATTAAACAAATCACCAGTTTAATCATTATTGCACAACTGCATAAATTTATTAGATACATTATGTAAAAAAAGTGTGCCCTTACATGTTTTCTTATGGAATGGGCAGTATTTGGTGGTAGGATGGAGAACAGGCAAGATGCCACTGCTGACGCAGATTGTGAAGATGCTGTGTGTGTATTTGTCGTCAGCTGTGGTCATGCACATTCAGTAAACAATACGGTCTTCTTCATCCTGAGTTTTGATAGAAAGTACAGTTTGTCACAGGCTGAGAAATTACATGGAATGGAAACTGACGTTTGGCTGATTTCAACATTATAGAGTTCCAGAACATTAAGGTCAGAGTGGGGAGTGGATTGAATTCTAGAATCTATGAAAACAGGTCCCTTACACTTCGGCCCTGTCCCAAATCCCGCCCTTGCATTTTTCCCTTGTTCTAATTCTGCATGGATTGTTGAGTAAAAGAGTGTTAAAACGACAAATTGGACAACCTACAGTCTACAAGTGTACCATTTTGGACTGGGTCATAAAGTGTCTCTAAATCATTCAGACAGATTTACACACTGCTTGTTAAACTGGATTAGCATGGTGCATATCCAGTTCAGAAATGCATGAACGTCAGTCAAGCTTGACAATAAAAAAACTCTTGAACTTCTTTTTGAATGTTTCCACATCCATCAGAACACTTCATACTGGCTCAACATGATCAATGTATGATCAACGATGACTCCACTCCATCCACCCGTCACAATTTGTGGGAGTAGAATAGGCTCTTACATGATTCCACTGGTTCAGTGTGTTTGTGGTAATATCCTAGGTTAGAGAGCCCCTATCCTGTGATGTGGCACTTGTAGGGTCTGCAGGTTGGGGCAGGTAAAGTACGGTGCAGGCAAGAAACATGTCGCCACTCCATTCGAAGCGAATGGGAGCGTTGGCCCATAAAAAACCTCCTCTTTACCCTTGGTGCTCACATCTAGCACCTGCCAAATAGACAAATGATAGGATTTCAACATTAATTATTTAACATGTCATTCAAACATAAGCACCATTCAAGTCAACTCACCTGAATGCAAGCAAGGGGTTCATTTGTCCAGATGGAATATCCACCAACCACATAGATTCTGTCATCATGGACAGACACTCCTGCCTCATTTTGGCCTATGAGGAGAATGTAGAGATTATGTTTACAAAAAAAAATCATTACCATGGTATAATAATAACCCTTTCAGGCACAGTGGACACTGCGAAAAAGTATTCATCTTGTGAAAATGTTTTGATTGGATCACTTCTAAAAACGTCTTACCAGCTAAACTAGGTTGATTTTTGCACACATTACCAGCTTAGTACTTTTTGTAAAGGGTACTAGAATCAGTGATACCATTTAATGCTTCAGAAAAAAATACAGTATATACAGCAAAGCTAATTTTTAAAGAGAAAAGAAAATGTGTAGGTAAATAGGTGAATAATCATATCTATTACATAGTTATATTGCGTGTGGTGACCTGTGAGGAGACTGAAGGTGCAGCGTGTCCACTGGTCCATGTCCATGTCGTAAGAGTCGATGTGTCTAACCAGGATGCGGTCATTGTTGTAGTCTAGATCGTTCCCCCCAAGCACATATAGCTGCCTTTTGACTGCCGCCATCACGTGGTACACCCTCCTCTGCAACATGGGACTGCGCGCTAGCCATTGATTCTATTACGGAGAGGAAATTACAAAAGAAAGAACAGCATAAAAACTGAATTATTCTCATCTTCAATTATTCTTAAAAACACGTCAATTCAAACTATACAATTGACCAGGAAAAGAGATTAACAAATATATGGTAAAATCATTTTTGCTGGTTAATTGTATAGTTTGACATTGCACTTTTTTTGACAAAGTATTTAATTTTTAATTTATATAGTATATAATATATATATATATATATATATATATATATATATATATATAAATACTTTGTCAAAAGAAACGTTTATGCCTTTTGCATATTCCGGTGCGTGTGCATTTATTTGCGAGAGGTGTGTGTTCATGCAGAGATTGCGCGAGCAGTGGTGAGTGAGAGTGTGAATATACACATGTGTGTTTGGCGACCATCTGTTGAGGGTATTGTGGGTGGGGGGTTGCTGTTCCTGGCAGGTGAATGCAAAGCCACTTTGAATACCAATGAGCCTCTGCCTCCTGTTCTTTCCTCCTCTCTTCTTTCTTTATATCTCTCTCTTTGAAAAACACACAGTTGCACTGACCACAGAAGTTATACGATACTTATTTTTAAGTCTTTTTGAATGTAACATTAAAAAATTACAATGCTCTGTAGAGGATTTGTATTGGACATAAGTCCCTTGTGTGGGTTTGGGTTTTTTGTTTTGTATCGTTTTTGTTTGTTTGTTGCATTTATTTGATCAAAAATACCATAAAAAAAACAGTAATTTTGTCAAATATTATTACAATTTAAAATAACTGTTTTCTATTTTAATTTATTTTAAAATATAATCTATTCCTGTGATAGCAAAGGATCAGTGTCACATGATCCTTTAGAAATAATTATAATATTTTCTCAGGATTCTAGATTAATAGAAAGTTCGGTAACACTTTATTTTAAGGTGCTTGTAATAAGCAGTAATTAACAGTTAATAAGACACTTATAAGACCTTATAAGATGCATATAAGATGCATATAAGCATTAACTACTTCATATAAAGGTTAATTAAAGGTCCAGGCCCTGAAGAGATCAGGGAAACCACTCCCTCTTGGGACGGTCAATTTTTAAGGGACTGGGAGTTTGTGTTACCATTTATGTTTGTTCGGCTGTTCTAAAAGTGCAATGTATTGATACTTGAGAAATTTATTATTTAATTTTATTTATTTATTATCATTAGTTAATGCTTATATGCATCTTATATGCATCTTATAAGGTCTTATAAGTGTCTTATTAACTGTTAATTACTGCTTATTACAAGCACCTTAAAATAAAGTGTTACCGAAAGTTCAAATAAACAGCATTCAAGGAAAATAATTATTTTGTAACATTAAACATGTCTTTATTATCATGTTGATCAATTTAATGCATCCTTGCTGTGCTGAATAAAAGTATTAATTTCTAATTAATAATATTATCATTATATAATATCTATAATATTTGAATTTTTTAAGATGAGAAAGATGCACTAACCAGCCACATTATTCTCACATAACCACATAAATGCAATCTGTTACCTGTCCTGGGTCATACACCATCAGTCGATTCTGGTACTGAGCTGTGTTAGTGACACCACCTGCAGCAGAAGAAGCCATCATGCTTTTAAGTCTTGGGCCTAGAAATGCATTGGGAGATTCCTGATATATGCAGAGTAGTGGGGTAAATGTGAAGGAATCTATTATTACCTGAGACCCAGAGCAGCCCGTCAGCCACGCATCCTGCATGACAGGACAGCGAACGGTCGAAAGGTTGCACGTAGGTCCACTTGTTCCTCTTGGGGCAGTAGCGCTCCACGCTGGGCAGAACCTGCCTCAGTTCATTCCTCCCCCCGACGGCATAGAGATACTGTCCCAGAGCTCCCAGCACAAAGTGCTCCCTGCACGCCTTCATTGGTGCAATATCAGTCCAGCGGTTCACCCTTGGATCGTACCGGCACGCCGTCCTCACCGCGCACGTCCTTCCAGTGGCGTGTTCCACCTCTCCGCCAGACACGAACAGGAAGTTGCCCATGACAGCCACACAGTGGTGACTCCGTCCAGCAGGCATGGGTGCTAATTCACTCCAGTTCGAACCCCCGGCAACACGCGTGTGCTCCTGCGCGGCGGGGTTGAAGAACCGCAACTCCCGCACACGGCTGACCTCCCGTTTGCGCCCGCCGATGATATATAATGTTAGTGACTGAAAGCGTGGGGTGGTGCGGGACGTCTGACGTAAAGGCTGTGCAAATACAGAGTGATGGTAGTCCAATGCCTCCTCCACCAGGGCGGCGACGGTGCTGCTGGAGTTGAGGAGAGGGTGGCTACTGGCCACACGGTGCAGGGCGGAGACCTCCATTAGGCCGTAGCGCACGTTTTGCAGCAGTTCCTCCATGTACTGGTATCTGCAGTCATGCTCCAGCCAACGCACCAATAACTACAGCAGGGCAGAGTGGCTCATCAGTATTCAGCACCGATTCGGGATCAGGAGATCACACTGCTCATATTACAGGCTGCAGCTCACACCATCCACACAATACTGTCTCTCTACGCAGGGCCAACGCTTTGTATCATTGCATGCTAATGCTTAAGATATTGTGTCTCTATACAGTGATGAGAAGACAGCTGCAGATGAGATGGGGGGTGGGGGATCTGTGAACATGCACACACACACACACACGTAGTCATGAGGTGTGCGTGTGAAGCATACACACATACGCATTCCGGCACAGCCAAGGGAGTTAGACAAAGGGGAGTTAATTGAACTTGAGAGCAATCTAGGCTGTTTAGCTGCAGAGGCATGCGAGTACGGCGGAGATGGCTGGAGATAAGCGATGCCACTCTTGTGGGAACAAAGTGGCTTTTAACACAATCAGCCCTGAGACAGAGAACTTATTATAGCATCCAGAGATCATGGGCCACAACCTCTAGACGTTCCGCAGCTGTCTCCTACACACAAATGGCAAATTTAAATGCTTGCAATATATTTTTTCTTGGGAGTATTTCATCTGTGAAATGGTTAGATTTCATTGTAGTTACACAGAATGATTCCCAGTGCGCTAATTTTAGGAAGGTACACTGATATTTCTGTGCTATTAGCAGCACCGAATTGCAGAGATAATGATTGCTGTCAGACAGGTTTCCCTAACATTTCCCCCATCTGCCATTGGTCGTTCTAATAGGTAATCCACCCCCAAAACTCACGCCATTGGTTGAGATAATTTTGCTCTGTTAGATGCTCAAATAGAGCAAAGTTCCTTTTAGAGACCATTAAACTACTTATGGTGTGCTTGTACATATTAAGGATTAAGTAGTTTTTCAAAATAAATAAAAAATGCTTTAAATTTTTTACTTATATTTGTATGTTATTGCTGATAAAAGATGAGTGGTCGGTATATAAAATTGTATACTATATTCAGGGTTCTAAATTAACACCCGCCAACCCGCCAAATGCGGGTTAAAATTCATTTTGGCGGGTGTTAATAAAAACTTACTAGCCAGTTTGGCCGGTGATCCATAAGGCTCTGTTCTCGGTCATTTATCCCTCTGGCAGTACTTCCTACATTTCCCATGAACACTGTGCCGTAATACTACGTGATGACGTTTCATACGCCCATTGGCTGCGCGCAGTGAAACGTGCGCGAGAAATGATCATGGAAACGAACGGAGCGTCCGTCCACCAGAAAACACAGGGAAGATGAAGAACGAGCCAGAGCAGGGAGCATAGACTGAAAGAGGAGGGAGCTAGTAAAGTAGCTAAAGTAAAAAGTTAAGATTAAACTAAATGCGGCGGTGGTTGGGACAGACTTCTGGGTTTAAATTTAAATGTCGTTTAACGAGAGATACGTTATTTTTTTAAGTTTAAGGTTTTTGTCATTATTTCTGAACAAGCTTATACATTAGGCAATATACACAACTAGCCTATATATCTTAAGGTTTTATTTTAGTTGAAAACATTAAACAATGTGTGTAAAAAAAATATATAAACAACAAAAGCATTTAAGCTCAAGCAGCGCAAACGGGGAAAAACGCACAAAAAAACACACAGAACGTACATACTCGAGTCAGCATATGATTATCGTGTTTATATTGTTTCACATTCATGTTGACAAATACAATAATATCCACATGCTCGAGTGAGACAACGCGCTGCGCTGACACAGACGTTGCAGAGACGCGTGTGTGTGCAAAGTGAAGTAACAGCAGTTTGCGTTTTCTGTATCCCTCAACGAAACTTAAAGGAAGTGGTTAATGCAGTGATGGACACAGTCTTCCTCAGTCGACTGCTGTTTCTTTGGATTTCATGTTATTTCTCATTGTGGTGGTGTCGGTGATATTATGATAACTCAGTTTAATTAATAAATAATTGATTAAACGTAATTCCATTTTGTAATAGGCTATCATTTGATAATCAAGTAATTCCAAACTTCGCGAGGCAGACAATGACATTATGTGATCAAATACAATCCACTTGTTAAATGCTCCACCCAGTGCATTTAATTATAACTGCGGAAAAAAAAGAAAGAAAAAAAGTAAAATTCTAATAGTATTTTATTTTTTGAATAATAATTACAGATCGAAAATTCGAATATTCGTGCACATCCCTAATAGATAGATAGATAGATAGAGATAGATAGATCCCAAACTTGAAATGAAATGTTTGCACTTTCTGTGTTGTATTGTACTTTTATATGTGTTTTTCATGCCAACAATGTTAATAAAATGCTCAAATGCATTCAGTGGCACTCATAATTTCTCTTATTTTCACCGGAAAAAATTTGGCTAGTGGAAATTCTAAATGGCTGGTAACTTTAGAAACTTACCAGCCACATTGGCTGGTGATCAAAAAAGTTAATTTAGAACCCTGACTATATTGTCTAAAAAATATGAATAAATAAAATTGTTTAAATGCTCGAGGTGATTATAGTAATATGGCTGATGATGAGCAATAAATTGCTGATATATATTATATTATATTATCAGAAAAGTTTCAATGCTACAAGTTAATTTAGGCATCACATATAATGTTGTGATGCCTAAATTAACTTGTAAATTAACCCCACTCACAACATTATAATGTGCAGTATGAAAAATGGCTATTCATGTATTATTATGGATTACTCAATTCTAAATGTTTTAAACATTGATTAACTTCAAGTGAGCATTTGACATGGCAACATGACAATTGAGCATGGACAATCTACCAGCCTATATATCCGAAATGGACCGATTCAGATAAATGAAAAGGTCTGTAATATTGAGCAATAACCTTTATGGTACCTATATAGTGTGCATTCCTACATAATTACACATTTAAGCTTTAAGTGTACATAGATTTCAGCAAAACCCTCCATTCCTGTTTGGCATCATTAATCATGTAACGCTCTATGGAGCTTCTGTTTCGCCTTCTTCCTTTCTCTGAATTTTAGTTGTTGTTTTTTTTCAACTCTCCTCCTTTTCACAGCCAGCAGAAGAGAAGAAAGAGAATAAGTGAGAGAGGAAAATGGGAGAGGGAAGGAGAGAGACAGAGAGAGAGAGAGAGAGAGAGAGAGAGAGAGAGAGAGAGAGAGAGAGAGAGAGAGAGAGAGAGAGAGAGAGAGAGAGAGAGAGAGAGAGAGAGAGAGAGAGAGAGAGAGAGAGAGAGAGAGAGGTGTGAGCAAGGCAGCGTCTGTTGACTGTGAAGGTCACACTGGATCAGAGAACTTCCTCGGGGCAGAAAATAAATGAACTCCCCCACCCACTCCCGCACAGAGAAAGACAGACAGAGAGTGAGTGCGAGAGAAGAAAAAAAGAAGAAAAAAAAAACAAAGAGGAAGAAAATGTGATTTCCAGAGCGTGAGACTCAGAGAACTCTGCATGACGATGATTGACAGCCAAACTATATCGAGGGTAGTATTGACGGGCGCACGTTCGGACTGGCGGACGGCAGCACCAGCCCCTGTGCCCATCACGCTTCCGTCTGATGCCCAAATTAACCTTCTCTGCAAAGTGAAGGAGGCCCAAAGCAGCCTAATCAGGGCCTGATTATGGCAGCAGCGACTGGTTAAAGGGTCAGGGTAATTGTGCCATCAGAGGCCTGATTGTTTTCAATCAGTAGGGCGGCCGGAGTGACAGCTGGGGGATTGAGGCGCTGATGGAGCCGCGGTGGGCCTAATCAGAGAGAGCCTGGTTGGGGGAGGGGTGGTGGGGGGGTGCCTGATTGGTGCAAATGAATAGTCACACCACAGCCCCCCGACTACAGCCTCCGCCCGAGTGTACATACATACACACACACGCTCAACATTGTCCGTACACCTTTTTTTCTCACTCTTACACCGTAAATTAAACAGGCAGAGTTTGTGTGAATATGACCTTAAGCATTCAGATTTACTTAATGATGCTTTTGTGTTTGGTAGCTGTTATAGAGATTGTCATGGGGTCCAAAAGTCTGAGATGTTCTTTTCTAAAAAATAAAAAAAATGACATTACCAAATTATATTAAATGCATAATTATTTGACTGTAAAGGTGAACTAAAAAAATTACATTAATTAAAAAGTGGTGAGTCCTTCTTTTGCTTTTTTGACAGCAGCACTTGAGCTGCAAGTTTGTGTAAAACCTGATGATCACATGGTCCAACATCATTTGAGATGTTCCAAAGAGCATCTTGAGCTTGACAAACATCTGAGCAAAGAGTTTCACATTAGTGAACTAGAAATGTAAAGGTTTCAGAATTTTAAACCCCATGCTGATATTTTGCATTAAACCATGAGCAGCTCAGAGATGTTTTGAAGAGTTTAAGTCTGTGAATTTGCGGCCCACACACCTGCCATATCTCCTCCTCACTGAGGGAGGTGAGGCGGTCGCTTTTTAGCACTTCCCTGAGGAGCCGGTAAGGTAGGAGCAGCACTTCCTCTTGCCTGTTCTTCTGCAGCTCAGAGAGGTGATCCACCAGAAAGCCCACCACTGCTTCCTCCAGGGCCGGCAAGTGGAAGAGGTCTGCCAGCCTGTACAGGTCCAGGTAGTTAAAACTGTTCAGCTCCTACAGGCACAGATATAAATACAGACAGATTCACAGTCAGAGGGGGTGTTTTATTCATGCATGAAAACTAGTTGAGCCTTCCAGTCTAAAATGAAATCGTATATGCCTTGAAACATACAAGCACACAAACACATACAATAATAGAGACCCCCATCCCATGAATTCACACTCAGTCGTTTAATATTGTAATACAGTAAATAATAAAAAATAAAGTTATGATAAAAAATAAAGTTATGATAAATGATTAATGGGAGCTCAAAAGAGCAAAATCTCATGAAAGTCCACAATATCCAAAAACAGACTGGAAAACCTTAAGTAAAAGAAGGAACAATGGAGACAAATCTAGTCAGGATGCTCCACATATGCAGGGTAAAGAAAGATGCTTCACACAGAGACTGACTGCCATCTACTGGTTAAAATGAACAACAAGCTAATTTTAAAGGCAGTGATGAGCAATGAACAAGTTCAGGTGGAATCTGCCGATCTTTTTCACATTTTCTGGACTGAATTATGGGGGAAATGATCTATGGAATTCAGCAGAAAGAGGGAAAAATGATTAGGGAATGAAAAATAGGTTTCTCGCACAAAGGCTTCAAGAAAACTTCATCTAGAGACTACTATTATGATAATTTGATGGTTATTTGTGTCTTTTTGAAGCTTAAAAGCAGATTGCAAATTGAAAAGAGCATGTAAAACTGTGGAAAGAAGAAACTCGAATCAATGAAGGGTGAATCAACGATGACAGATTTTGTTCAGAAATATTCCTATAGAAATGAGCATGTAAGATGCATAAAATGAGTAGAACTTTTACAAAATTACTACTGATTACACAGTAACGTTATATGTAGTACTTGCTGAAAACACAAAATAAGCTTTATCAAAACATTGCAAGTTTTCAAGGCAGAAATAACCTGTAAACACACCTGAATGAGATAGTGGGAACAGAGGCTGAGCAGTTCCAGCAGCTGAAGGTGGCTTCCAGCAGACAGGACGTCTTGTATCACTCCTGGCTCCAGCATGATCTACAGACAAATAACCTGAGTAAGACTATTGTAAGAAACCCCAACCTTGCTTTCCTAATTCCATGTTAAAAGCAGGGGCCTTCAACCTTTTTCAGGCCCCTTAATGAAGAAAGAGACGGAGCAGGGACCCTGTGTTGAAACTTGTATAAACAAACATGTATTGCATAAGCCTGCTTTATAGCAGCTACTATATTAAAGGTATTTACATATGTATAATGGTTAGATTGCAAAGCTAATATTATTACAATTTAAAATAACTGAATTTACTTCTGTCTTCAGTGTCTCATGAGCCTTCAGAAATCATTCTAATACGATGATTTGGTGCTCAAGAAGCATTTATTATTATCAATGTTGAAAAAAGTGCTTATTATTTTTGAGGAACTCTGTTGAATAGAAAGTTCAAAAGAACAGCATTTATTTGAAATAGAAATATTTTGTAACATTATAAATGTCTTTACTGTCACTTTTGATTGATTTAATGCTGAATAAAATAATTAATTTCTTAAATTAAATCTTACTGAACCCAAACTTTACAACAGTAATGTATATAATATTGGACCGTCTCTATCTCTGGATGTCTCTGTTATCAGTGCTTGAATCTAAAAGTTGTTTAGCAACAGACAACCAATCAAACTAAACAACTGACATGCCAAAAAGGTGATGGCAAAAGCATTAACTGGAGTAAATCATTGCTTTTGTATGTTTCAGGTTACTTAAAACAGCCAGAATGGGCCTACATGGTGACATTTTCACAATTGGAAACCACATGCTTGTTCCAATCTGTATTTGTTCAATCAGTGTTAGTGACTTCATGAATATGCAACTAAGAACATAAACTCAGGGTTTACCAATTGTATAGTGTGAAATCTTCAAACTAACATGAAATAAGATTATTATATTTAACCAGATTTAGAATTTCAATAAGCCCATTTGTGAAGCTCCAGAATAAATTATTCACAAGTATTTCACTTATCTGCTACATATGATTCATAATAGGGTCTTTCCAGAATCTAGAGACCTGTCTTTGCTTGAAGCACTGCAAATTTAGTTTGTTTTGCATGTTCTGGGCCATATGCTACTGTGTGGGCTATGCTGAATTTACCTGGCCTGTGTAGGCGAAGTCCAGTGCGTGCTTCAGTCCGACGCTAGTCACACCCTGGAGAGTTACCTCATCTGCCTCACTCTCCACCATACACAGACTGAACATAGCCTGAAGATACACACACACAAACTCATAAGCAGGATGCACCACAGAACTACAGTAATATAGCATCCTGTAAATAGCTGTTAAAGCAAAATGTCAAAAAACTGTTCATTCAAGTCTAAAGAGTTTCACACTGAGAATGAAAGTGAGTCCATGGCCATCAATCAGTGCATACTGTACTTTCTCACACACACGCGCGCAGAATAAAGAGACCAAGAGGCCAGTGCTGTCCCGCTGTGTTCTCTGGCAGGAGTACACTAATCAAAAGTATTGACTGCTGTCACAGAGCGAGTGTAGGATGGTCATTGATCAAAGCCCATGGTGAAGAGGAAGTCAAAGGACATTGGATCATCATTACACCAACTCCACTGATCAAACCTAACTGCTCCTAATGATGAACTTCCAGCGTGAAATAAAAAAAACTGTAATCTATCTATCTATTTTAATATATATATATATATATATATATATACACACATGCCTCCCAAAATCCGAGTAATAACTCTCAGGCACAGATTAAGTCTGATTCTGGATTGAAATTAGTGTCAACAGAAAGAATCAAAGACATTTATCTCTATTTTTATATATATACACTCACCGGCCACTTTATTAGGTACCCCATGCTAGTAACGGATTGGACCCCCTTTTGCCTTCAGAACTGCCTCAATTCTTCGTGGCATAGATTCAACAAGGTGCTGGAAGCATTCCTCAGGGAGTTTGGTCCATATTGACATGATGGCATCACACAGTTGCCGCAGATTTGTCGGCTGCACATCCATGATGCGAATCTCCCGTTCCACCACATCCCAAAGATGCTCTATTGGGTTGAGATCTGGTGACTGTGGAGGCCATTTTAGTACAGTGAACTCATTGTCATGTTCAAGAAACCAATTTGAAATGATTAGAGCTTTGTGACATGGTGGAAGTAGCCATCAGAGGATGGGTACATGGTGGCCATAAAGGGATGGACATGGTCAGAAACAATGCTCAGGTAGGCTGTGGCATTTAAACGATGCCCAATTGGCACTAAGGGGCCTAAAGTGTGCCAGGAAAACATCCCCCACACCATTACACCACCACCACCAGCCTGCACAGTGGTAACAAGGCATGATGGTTCCATGTTCTCATTCTGTTTACGCCAAATTCTGACTCTAACATCTGAATGTCTCAACAGAAATCGAGACTCATCAGACCAGGCAACATTTTTCCAGTCTTCAACTGTTCAATTTTGGTGAGCTCTTGCAAATTGTAGCCTCTTTTTCCTATTTGTAGTGGAGATGAGTGGTACCCGGTGGAGTCTTCTGCTGTTGTAGCCCATCCGCCTCAAGGTTGTGCGTGTTGTGGCTTCACAAATGCTTTGCTGCATACCTCGGTTGTAACGAGTGGTTATTTCAGTCACTGTTGCCCTTCTATCAGCTCGAACCAGTCTGGCCATTCTCCTCTGACCTCTGGCATCAACAAGGCATTTCCGCCCACAGAACTGCCGCTCACTGGATGTTTTTTCTTTTTCGGACCATTCTCTGTAAACCCTAGAGATGGTTGTGCGTGAAAATCCCAGTAGATTAGCAGTTTCTGAAATACTCAGACCAGCCCTTCTGGCACCAACAATCATGCCACGTTCAAAGTCACTCAAATCAACTTTCTTCCCCATACTGATGCTCGGTTTGAACTGCAGGAGATTGTCTTGACCATGTCTACATGCCTAAATGCACTGAGTTGCCGCCATGTGATTGGCTGCTTAGAAATTAAGTGTTAACGAGCAGTTGGACAGGTGTACCTAATAAAGTGGCCGGTGAGTGTATATATATATATATATATATATATATATATATTAGGGCTGTCAAAAGATTAATCGCGATTAATCGCATCCAAAATAAAAGTTTGTTTTTACATAATATATGTGTGTGTACTGTGTATAATTATTTTGTATATAAATGCACACACGTATATATTTCCGAAAAATATGTTATTTATATATAACATGTTTATATTTATATAAAATATACATTATATATAGGCTACATTCAGTCTATATACAGTATATACATGCAAATATTTCTTAAATACACATGCATGTGTGGGTATTTGTGTATTAAAAATAATTATACACAGTACACACACATATATTATGTTGTTTACTTTTATTTTGGATGCGATTAATCGTGATTAATTGTTTGACAGCCCTAATATATATATATATATATATATATATATATATATATATGAAGAGATCAGATGCAAAAGCCTCTAAGTGCCATTTGAAATTTTCTTCTAGAATGATAATTTTTATCAAGCTTATATATTTAAGTTCAGAAATTTCACTTAAATGGCAATGAAGATTACCTATTAATTGTCATTTAAGTGAAATTACTGAACTTAAATATACAAGCTTGATCAAAATTATCATTCTAGAAGAAAATTTCAAATGGCACTTAGAGGCTTTTGCATCTGAACTCTTCATATATACACACATGCCTCCCAAAATCAGAGTAATAACTCTCAGGCACAGATTAAGTCTGATTCTGGATTGAAATTAGTGTCAACAGAAAGAATCAAAGACATTTGAAAGAATCAATAGACAATTAATGCAGGTCTTAGCTCCATCTGAAGCCGCCATGTGCTGAAAATAGATGCAAAGTGTTTATAATCTTTTATCGTTGTCACCTCACCCTCAGAAACTGTTCCCCCAGTAGTTTGTCACATTTAAAGTACCTGGTAAAGTATACCGTGTTTTTCTATTTGCTATTTAAAGAGCAGTACGTTTTTAATGACTGACCTCAGCTCACATTCAGATATTTTAAAAGGACTCATTAGAGCTGATGGTTGGTTTGTTGACAGCTATTCAGAGAGCTTCTTACTGGGACACCACTGCCCATAAGAAAATATTAGGGGTTTTTTGGAAGGGGATTGTGGATAATAAGCATGACCAGTCCTGTATCACATGTCTGGGTGAATGACTTCTGACCTTGGAAAAGCAATGCAGGCTGGCCAGACAGCAGCTTTGTGAGCTAATTAGTTTACAATGCATGCTTTTTGAACCATATGAAAATACAGAATCATGCAACGCCTCACATCAGTGTCACCGGCAATGCTGCATCGTGAATCTAAGCAGCGGCTGCTGAATCTTCAGCACCATGCAAAATAAAATCATATTTCACATGAGCTGTGACTGCGAGTGCAATGCAATAGAATAAAAAGACTGTGTACCACAAAATTAAAGCCAGGAAACGTCTAACTATTGAGTTGCCTTCATGGACTGCAGACAGAAACAATAGTTACAACTAGGGCTGTCAACTTTAGTCGTTTAGTCGACTAATCGGTCGATGCCGTCTTGGTCGACTGACATTCATTTTTTTTTTTTACCAATAGAAAGAAATTTTCAATGATTTACTCCTTGATATTTATTCCTTTATAAGCAGTTAAATATTACTGTATTCTAAATATAATTAGCCTATGGTTTATCCCCAACTTTAAATGCTTTAATTTAGGCTATTTTGTAACAGCGCCACAGTTTAGCGCACACACATAGAACACTCGGTTCGCACCTGTGGCTGGCTGCGCTGCTGCTTCGTGCTCAGTAAGGATATAGGTAGTTTAGCTGTATTCATTCAGTTAGAACGCTACTTGTTTCGGTTTTTATGTTTTTATACACTATATGTTTGTATCTCGATGCGGCGTGGACGCACTTGGAAAAAAAAGAGCGCGTCGCACCGCGACCGTTGCTTCCATCATTAGCGCACACCGCGCGCCTACATTTGAAATCGAACTTGAGCGCGCAAAAGACGTGAGCAGTCCCTTTAACGGCTTGATCATGCTGACTCAATAGATTGTGTTTTCTTGATATGTTTTTGTTTTTATTTGTACACTTGACTTGACGCATTTGAAAATAGCCTAAATAATGTAACAAAACGAAAATAAACCTATATGCGGTCCTACAATAAAGCCTATTATTATTAGGATTGTTTTTTAGGCTCTTTGGGTTTTTGTGTGTGTTTGTTTTAAAACGCCTAGATAGGCTGGACAAAAGTTAACCTATAGCTTTGAAAGTAAAGAAGAATATACAGCCTGTATAAACGAGAGCTTTTGTTAGGATTTTTCATTGTGGCAGATAGCAGTTATATTTTTTGTAGCGTGTGGTGTGGTCAGGTGCGCGATTGTGACTGTCACTATAGACCTAGGACAGAGCTCCTCACTTTTTGCAGTTAAAAAAAAATCACTTAATTTTCAAAGAATTGTATTATTATTATAGTTTTATGTATTTTTGATGTTTTTTCGTTGTTGTTTTATAAATGCTCTATGACAATTGTTAAAAAATGTTCAATCAAAACATTTTTTTTTTTTTTTTTTTTTTTTTTTTTAGTCGACTAATCGTTGCGCAGGACAAGACTTTGGTCGACTAAGGATTTCTTTGGTTAACTACAGCCCTAGTTACAACACTGCCAGAGTAGTCTAATTCACAAACAATGACATAAAAGTCAGCTCTTTTTAATTAATAAAAAGCATACAATGCAGTGTAGTCTGATTCCCGAACAAATTACTTTTATGAGCTTTTATGCGCTGTAGATTTTTTAATAAATAAAAAGATGTATTAACAGTTTTAATCAGTCGGTCTAATCATTATATTCAGTAAATGAAGCAAGCTTGTGTAAGTATCGTTACTCATGATTGTTGCTGATGTTATTACTCGTTAAAGATACACATTTGCTGTACGAACTTAGCGAGCCTACGTTCTGACGTACAACCCATAAGCGCTGCGCTGATACACTACGTGAACTCACTCAGAGGCCCACACAGAAGAAAATGAATAGTTGAATAAAGTCGTTATTTTTGAGGCGTTTTGCGCACAAAAAGTATTCTCGTCGCTTGATAAACTTAAGGTTGAGCCACTGTAGTCACTTGGACTATTTTAAACATTGTCTTTACTAACTTTCTGGGCCGGCAAGTTTCAATTCTCAATTCCATAGAAGCCTATGGAGGAGTGAGACAGCTCTCAGATTTAATCAAAAATATCTTAATTTGTGTTCCAAAGATGAACGAAAGTCTTACGGGGTTGGAACAACATGAGGTTATTGACAGAATTTACATTTTTGGGTGGACTATCCCTTTAATGCCAATGCCACAGGCGCAGATTACACCTTTCACATTTATTCATTAGTGCCACTGAGGTGTCAAAGCTCGAAAGGGTGCAATATCCTTTTATTTCTCAGGGACATCCGGCCTAAAAATAGAACAAGACAGGTGACACTGGGTAAACTGGTGTGATTTTTACATTTTCTAAAGAAAAAGACTGGCGTTTGACCGTACAAACCTCACTGCCACAATTCTAAGTTGTTCTGGGTGGTTGCCTGAGTGTTTCTTCAACTTCTATAATTCAATGTTAGGCTGCATAGTTACATCATAAGAAGAATGGCATCTACGCTAATTTTAGTGTCTTTGTTTATCTCGAGGTTTTCCCGCAGCCTGCCGGATCCAGGGCGTATCCAGATCTGACGAAGGAGCTTCGCCTGGACCCGATGACAATGCAGTGTTGAAGTGTCAACTATCCTCTCCCTATGGAGGATCCCTTTCCCACTCTACAGATAAAGCGTTGTTGAAAATCCGGTTCGCGTAACCCGAAGTGATAAAATAAAACAAATTTCTTTATCTAATGTATAGGCAAGACAAGTAGTTTGTTTAGGCATGGTTTGTAGGGAAATTACAAACCTGCGCACATATATTTAAACTAATATAACTATAGAATCAATTCTTAATGCGCATGTGAACGCATGTGAACGCCATCAGGTCACAGGTTCTCGTTTAAAGTCTGTTTAGAGAGAACGCCGTCATCTTAGTGGCCCCTAATTTGATAACAAATGATAATTTTGCTGGAAGTGAATTAATCAAAACTAACTTTAGCTGGAAATAACATTATTCAAAAATCGCTATAAAGCCAAAACAATCTCTGTTACCGTAAATTGTATGTTTATCTCTGTAAAGCTGCTTTGAAACAATCTACATTGTTAAAAGCGCTATATAAATGAAGATGACTTGACTTGACTGTTTCTAAGTGGTTGCTATGGGTTCTGAGAGGTTTTCCTGAAATTCTCTTTCTGGATGTTCTGGATGGTTGTATGATCGTTGCTTACTGGACCGAGTCAAAATAGCCCACCTTTCTAAGATACTGTATTCACGTGTATAGATATGACTTGCGTCCCTTCTTCCCTCTATCCATCTAAGGGATTTTCACCCACTTATTGTGTTTCAGCCTCTCTCCAACAAGCCCTAAAATTGGAGGTATAATTAATTCACAAACAAGGCAGGACCATTAATATGTCAGTTAAATACTGGCAATTGGGATTCATTTACAAAACACACACATTTTGGTATTCACGATAGAGCATAAAACACATGCTCATCCACACGTGTCTATTTAAACCTATTCAACCGTTCCACCTAACAGATATCAGGAATAATAAAAACCTTGCAGGCATACTATGTCAAAGGGTAGCTGTCAAACAGAGCCAACAGCTTGATTGACTTAAGCTTTGGATCAGGCCATGTTTTACATAAGCTATGACTCGCCTTAACAACAGCAGAAGGTGTCCTCATCAGAAACCAAGGGCTAAAATCAAAAACAAGGGATTATATCTTATCATTCCAGCCCAACAGAGGTGGAGAGCTTCCCAGGAGACATATAGAGATAAATATACCTGCCCTATTTAATTCTGTTCTTTGGACTGTGCACATAATCTTTCCCTCTGTTGCAGGGCTGGATGTATTTCTTCTTTGTAATCTTCTGAACAAACCAAAATCAAATCTCACTGATACGGTTTCCAGGGCCGCTGCTGACTTTTCATTTCCCGTCTGTTGCTCTCTTGTCTCCCGTGTGAACTGTACATATTTGCATCAGGATTGTGCAGCTAAAAGGAAAATCCTGTTGTCGTTTACTCACTATCACATTGTTCCAAACACGTATGACTTCTGTGGAACACAAAAGGAGATGTTCAATAGAGTGTTTACGCTGCTCTTTTCCATATAAAGAAAGACAACGTTGCTGTACAGCTCCCTTCATTTCACACTGATTTCAAACCTGCTATAAATCATTTTGATACACCACATTTGAATGTATTATTTTTAGAGCTTGGCAGCACTCATCCCCATTTACTTTTATTTTATGGAGAAGAGCAGCATGAACTTTGTACCCAACATCTCCAGTTCCAAGAAAGAATGAATATGTATGGATGGAAGCTCTGTTCCACCACAAAAGGAAAAAAAATCATGCTTTAGTAAAGCATTGTTATAAAATAAAAAGTAGCAGTAAAAGTCGTAATCATAAGATAAGGTCAACCTTGTGTCATACTTATGTTTTTGTCAATGTCTTAGTATGCCATCATTTTTGACTATTTATCTCAGGATTATGACTTTTTGTGTCATAATTATGATTTACCAAAGCATGATTTCTTTCCTATGAGGCGGAAATGTGCTTCCATTGATATGGAATGACAAGATTTTTGGGAGAACTGTTCCTTTAATAGATGCCAGCATAAGCTTGTGTGGCAAACACTCTAACTGATCATGTTTCTGGGGTTAGCGAGATGCACAGTGTACAATCTCACCCGGAAGTAATCGCTGCAGGCTGCCAGGACCGCCTTGTGAGCATGGAACTTCTGTTCCCCGGCGACCAGGGTGACATCGCAGAGCAGTCCGTCCTTGCGCTGCTGATTAAGGGCAGAGAGGACAGAGTCCTGGTGGGATTTGGATTGACACAGCCTCTGTCCTGTCAGCATGTCCTGAGAGCTGAGACACAAGAGAAACACTGCAAGACAAGCCCATGCTTGGAGTTTGTGAACAACTCATCATGGAAGCCTGTGCCCAGAAACAATGAAGTGTGTATGTGTGTGTATGTCTTTTTCCCTGCTGTTCACTAGATCTATCAATGCGCCTATTCAGAATGTGAGATGTCATTGATTCTCACTGCTCCCATTGCCCTGAATAGCTCTTTTCAGCACAACACATTCAGATTTAGCTCTAATTCTCTTTCTGGACACTGAAAATGTTATTTAACATAAAAAGACTGCAGAAATGGTATAGTAAAAACCTGTTAACTGATTAACTTTAAGTTACCTTACCACATTAATAAATATGATTAATAAAACTAGGGCTGTCAAATGATTAATCACGATTAATCGCATCCAAAATAAAAGTTTGTGTTTACATAATATATGTGTGTGTACTGTGTATAATTATTTTGTATATAAATGCACACATGTATATATTTAAGAAAAATATGTTATTTATATATAAAATGTTTATATTTATATAAAATATACATTATATATAGGCTACATTCAGTCTATATACAGTATATACATGCAAATATTTCTTAAATACACATGCATGTGTGGGTATTTATGTATTAAAAATTATTATACACAGTACACACACATATATTATGTGAACACAAACTTTTATTTTGGATGCGATTAATCGCGATTAATCGTTTGACAGCACTAAATAAAACACCACATGTATTTTTACTGTCAAGATTTAAAGATAAATGTATTAAATCTATTTATTAAAGATTTGATATTATTAATTCATTGAACAAATTTGTTATTGTTAATTTATTAAAAATACATTTATTTATCAAATATTTGATTCAAATATATTTCATGTATTATATTATACTTTATTTTAATAATAGTTTTATTGTAAACAAAATTTTAATTTCTATATTTACAACATTTTTAACAAGGCAATATATACACTTTTACAACAAAATTACAAAAAGTATGAACTTCCTTTGAATTTATATGAATATGAGTATTACCAAAAGTTCCTGCATGAACCATCACATTTGTTGATATTTTATTTCATACTTTTTTGTAAGTTATTCACATTGGCATGCTAAATGCTACATTTTACATTATTTCATTCATTCATGTTAGTTGCATTATTGTAGTGTGATGTATTACCTGGTGGTCTTTATGTGGGTGACACTGTGCTCTGTCAGTGGGGTTTTTTGATGAAGTCATCATGTGATGAAGTTTGTTCAAATTTGTTGAATACTGGTTGATATTATTCTTATGATTTGAATCTTATACACACAGCCAGAATTGGACAAAATAGTCACCAAAATGCCTCCCACAATGTCAGTGACATCATCGATGTGTATATACTGTATATAATTTTTTTTTTTTTTTTTTGCAGTAAATTTAACAAAAATGTTTTACAGTATTAGTTTACACAGAGTAGTACAGCCTTCTGGGAGAAGAAAGCTTCGGGTGACCTCAGATATCCTCCAGAGCTCTTTAAATAACGCTGACCATGTCACAATATCTCCCATCAAATCCAACAGCGTCTACATCAAATTAAAACTCACCAAAGATGTGAGGACATGGACATCTCTTAAGGTAGACTGAGGTGTGCAGAATGTACCTGGGAGGAGGCTCAGAGGGCATGCTCCTGGAGGAGAGAGGACGAGGCAGAAGGAGTGCTTCCTGTTGATACAACAAAACACCAGACAGGCTCGACTGAGCATGTGCAGCACTCTACAGTGAGAGAACAGAAACAGAAAAGACTGAGAGTGAATAAGGACACAGCCTGCATATCTGAGAAGCCTATGATAGCCTGAATATCTGAGCATCTCGATGGAGCTTCTGAGATGAAGAGCTTTTAAAGATTGAAATGATTCACCTTTACAAAACAGAGTGAAATATCCCTCAAGAAACATATCTGATGTATGAAGGCCAAGTATGGCAACCCATTCTCGGAATTTGTCCTCTGCATTCAACCCATCCAAGTTAGTGCACACACATTAGGAGCAGTGAGTTATGAACACACACACACACACACTGCAAACCGTGGACACACACACCCAGAGCAGTGGGCAGCCCTTCACTGAGGTGCCCGGGGAGAGATTGCGGGTTAAGTGCCTTGCTCTTGCTCAGTCATTTCCTGATGTAATGACAATCAAACCCACAATGTTTGACAATCAAACCCACAACCTTCGGTTTACAAGTCTGACTCTCTAACCATTAGACCACAAGTGTCCCAACTGCCCCATGATATAAGCTATATGCTACATGCTATAAGCTTACTAGGCTGAAAGTGAAGTCTGACATTAATTTCATGACAATTTTATTAACATTTTCATATACATTTCCTCCCCAGATAGGCTACTGTACTACAGAAAATTCATTATACATTATATAACTTGCATTTATACATTATGGTAGCAATTGTTGCACTAGCTTTATGCAGATTTACACATTTAAACAAATGAATATATTTTAATGAAATCTGAGCGATTTATGTCCCTCCATTGACCATCTACGCAACTAGCTACCACTTTGACGCTTCAAAAAGTTCATAAAGAGAAACAAATCCATATGAATTGAGCGGTTTAGTCCAAATTTTCTAAAGAGACACAATCACTTTATAACGATGAACAGATTGAATTTAGGCTTTTATTCACATAAACATTCATCAACGCACACATCAGTTGTGGTAAACGGAAGCTCACACATACTTGCTTGATGTGCGAGCTTTCGCAAGGCGCAAGAACCAATGAGGTTTGTTCTCTTGCATCAAGCAGGTTTGGTTGAGCTTCTATTTATGTTCTCTGATCAATGTTTATGTGAATAAAAGCCTAAATTTAATCTGTTCATCATATACAGTAGGCTAACGCGACCGTGTCTCTACAGAAATTTTGGACTAAACCGCTCGATTCATATGGATTAGTTTTACAATCTCTTTATGAACTTTTTGAAAAATCAAAGTATTAGTTGCGTAGCTGTCAATGGAGGGACAGAAATCTCTCAGATTTCATAAAAAAAATCTTCATTTGTGTTCCCGAAGATGAATGAAAGTCTTACAGGTTTGGAACGAGATAAGGGTGCGTAACGTTAATTAATAACAGAATTTTTCTTTTTCGGTGAGCTAATCAGTCCGGCGTTATTCCTCTTTGTCGCCATCTCTGTTCGAAATCTGCAATTGCAGTCATTCGCGGAATTATCAACTTTACGTGAGTTGTACTTCAACACCCTCGACACGGCACAGCGAGGATGAACACAATGTTTGAGGAGACTGTGAGGCTGTCAGTCACTGCGCAGGTGTGGATACTGGCATTCAGAATCACAGATTATTCTTTTTGGACGTATGAACAACATAAGTTTTTTCACCAGAAAATGTCATCTGAACTAGTAAGAAACAACCACTTTTGTTCTGGTTCTGACATTGCAGTAAATCGCGCTGATTAAATCTAACAATCGCTTATCAGTTATCATATCATGCAAAAGTTATCATATCACGCAAAATATCACTCAAATTACGTTGTTCTCAAATTGTTAATGTTAACAACGTCAGCATTGCGTGACTACATGTAATGTCCTTCCGATATGTATCCTTGTTTTCACATGGGTCCGGTTGCAGTCTCTTTTTTTCTGTAGCCACTCCGAACGAAGTCTTTTGCGTTTTACAGCGAGTGAATCTGTTGTCACTGGTGATTGTCGTTTGAACCATTCTGGATCCGCCATCAAATTGATAAGTTTAATTATATCAAGTGCTGTGAGAAAAGGCTATAAATCTCCACCTCCAACATCCTCACTCGCAATATAGCCTACTAGCCGAGACTCCTTCTTTATGTGTACAGATGTGACGTAATGACGCAAAGACATGCTCAAATCTCCTGCGGAAATCCACCAGACCACCAGTACCACTGGAAATAAAAACATTATTACAAGCTTACCGTTTTGAATCGAGCTAAGGCAAGCAGATAGTTTTGAACACTGGCTGGTTAAGTATTTTCTCAAATATGTATTTTGGATAATTTTTAACCCAAAAAAAAAACTACGGACTGCAGCTTTAATGTATGAAAAACAGGAGAATAAAAATATAAATAAGAAATAAAAATATGAAATATGATGTTTTTCAAGAGATTCATCATGCAGTAAGCTAATATTCATCCAAAGAAAACAAAATAGAAGAAATATTAAAAACACCACTCACCCTATTGATGCACAATGTGTTTGGATACAAAACAGCTAACGTTACAGGCAAAGTTCATTCTTATCCAAAATCTCCTTTCATAGAGCCTCATGTGATGGTCAAATGGTATCAAGACTGAGAGTAGCCTATGCCTAGGCGCCCTGATGCAGGATTTATTGGAGCCTAATGGCCCATTGTGTCTGAACCATCCCAGCACATATTGATCTGATTACAAAATGACCTTCAGTCAGCAGATTGTAGTCCACGGTGAATGGAGGAGAAAAGAGGAGGGAAAAAAGAGGAGGGAAAAAAGAGAAATAAAACTAATGATACAGTAGTACAGATATTTTCTTAAAAGCATTGGTCTGTCACTCAAATGGTCCCGTCCATCATTCTAGCCTGTCACTGACCTACTTAACCAGAGTCCACCCTTAATCCATCAAACTAAAGGTGACTGAATGACAGTTTAAGGTAACGTTACCGTCGCGTTAAAATCAACGTGTAACGTTAGGATATATTATTTAAAAATAATAATAATAATAACAATAATAATAATAACATGTCAGGCGGATGATATATTGTCTATTAAATTATTTTGACAAGTTAATCGCGTTACGGATCCAAAGAAGAACTGTCACTAAATGCAGATTATGGTGCTTGGTCGCGAGTCCTTGGCTTCCACAATCACTTTAAAACCTCAACTGTCAAAGGTCTCCTAGCAACAGGGCAGAACCAAGAATATTTGGGCAACAATAAATGTAATCCTCCTCACTGAAGACCCGCCCAACTGCAACCTCATGACATTCAGCTGTGAACTGTTTCGGTACATCCCTTCAGCATCCATCTGTAAACACTGTCTAAACGTTTCTGTATGTTAGACGTCGTATACAAATATTCACCATATAAAAAGCGCACGTACACAGTGTACCTTCGCGTCCAGTGTCTTCTTCTCTCGGTCAAACTGATTTTATCCGACGTCGGTCACTTATCAACTTTGACTGACCAAAACAAAATATCTGCATCGACCCCCAGGAGAAAACTGTCCAGAGACTGGGGGTGTAACTCGCTATGTCTATGCCCGATGCATCTGAGCTACTGTAACCGCTAGAGTCTTAATCAGTCCCCGCCTCTTGCGGTCACATGCCCGGGATCATGCGTGTCCACGAGGCGCCAAATATGAAGTGCAAACCACCATAGCCAAAAACATTCTGTCATTTTCTTTACATTAATTTACATGACTTTTCCAGGTCCAAAAATCACACTTTTAAAATTAATTAAAATTGAAATAACTTTCATGTTGAGTCCCCATTGGAAGTTTGCTGAAGCCCCCTGGAGGAGAACCACTGGTTAGATTTAGCACTGGTTGTGCTTGAATACAGATTGCCTTCGCATAGATAGACTGTAAAATGAATGGCTTTATTTCGAACATGTCAAATAAACAATAGGGCCTTCACACGTCACTAAAGGGCAAGGCATACATGTTTTGGCGTTTACAATGCCTTTAACTGGTGTGTAGAAATGACATAGGCTAAATTATGTTGTTGTTGTTGTTGTTGTTGTTGTTGTCGTTGTCGTTTTATTTATTTATTTATATGTTTTTTACTTTATCAAAAAATGTTTTGTTTTGTTTTGTTTTGTTTTTTCGTAAAGTAATTCTCCCACTACAGCTGAAAAGCAGACATTACACGTTTAAAAAAAACTCAGCAGTCTCTCATAACGGAACTGAGAGTGTCATTTCATGAGAGTTTACAGCCGTCAGCTGCAGACATGGATCAATTAAAACCTTTGCTTAGCTTCGCTCAGAAACAGCAGACCAATTTAGGATTCGGATTAATTGCTCTTATAACTGCGGGTGGCGAGCACGTTTTCTCGGTCTTTGCTTTTAGGTGTCCTTGCAATGATTGGAATTTCATTTATGGAAACGTCTGCCTCCTCGTACCCGCTCTTGCATTGCTCATTCTAAGTTACATGTTGAGCAATAAAACGTGGAAACTGTTCACAGGTCTGTGCCTTAGGAAATCGAAACTATGTCGTTTTAATTACGCATTTGGCTTTTTTTGTGTTTTTCTTCAAATCACCATGACTGCAATGGTCGCACCTCTCAGCTGGATCGCAGTTGCTCTGCTCAAAGGGGTGTATTTCGAGTGTTCAATGACTGGCGCCAACGTCACACTCTTTAGACGGCACCTTTGCAACGAGAAGTATCTCCACTGTAGGACAGAGTTGGAGAAGTTTCCGTGTGATGGAACCGCAATTCCACAAAGTGAGAGAGCGGCTGTTCTGTCCATTATACGCGCAGAGTCGCAGGTGAGCAGACGGTACAGCTATTTGTCCAAAATCCTTTTAAATTAAATTAGGTATCAAATAGCCTAGATCTCAAATAAGACTCAGAACATTTAATTTTGCCGAATTTTGACTTTCAGAGGTTTCGACTTTTGAAAGCAATTTTCTTATGAGTGGTCCCTAAATGTTGTCCATTTTTTTGTTAACTACATTAGGATTGGTTCAGGGTTGTAGGCTAGTGCATACACTTGTAAAAAATGATTGCCTTACATTTTTAGGTACAATCACTTTGAATGTTTAAGCCATTTTAACTTAAATTTTACATTAATCTGACTTTTCAAAAATGAGTTGCATCTTGCATAACTTATATAAATTGGAAAATTACTTAACTTATTTTGATGAGCTATAGCAATGTAAAAACATATGTTATCATAACTTAGCCTACTAATCATATATATTTTTACAATGTATATAACCCAGTTATTGTAATTGCTATAAGTGTAGCCTGTGGAACAGGGCTGTAAAATAAAGTGCTACACCCATTTTTCTAGGTAGCCTAAAGGGTTATTTTAGCAGTTCAGTGTCCTACAGATCTTGTTATTTGCGTTCATAAGGTCCTAGATTATCATAGAGGCTCTACGATAATCTTAAAATGATTTTTTTATATCTGTGCTTCAACACATCTGATGTTAGTTACCTCTCTTTCGGTGGGCTAATAATAATTTGACTAATTCTGGAATATACTTCTAGGTTCTTGGATGGATCCTGATAGCTTCTGTCATGATGTTCACCTTTCTGCTGACATGCATGGCCAGATGCAATTCTCCAATCAGTTACATGCAGCTGAGGTTTTGGAGGATGTACACTCAGAAGGAGAATGAGTTTTTGGACAGCTATACAACTCAGCATGCCGAAAAGCTGGCTAGGAGAAACATAACAAGTTTCTTTGAGTTAACCAAACCCATTCCTATGAAAAGTCCTCCCAGACAGGCCTGGCAGAAGATCTCCTCCTTCTACAAGTTCCGGAGCATGGACGAATACTACAGCATCCTGCACAAGTATGTGTGCACTTGTGAGGACTTTGAGAATCCAGCAGTGAGGGCTTCATTGAAGTCTGAAAATGAATTTGCAAACCCAGCAGCACTTGCATTTGTGGACGAGGGCAAACTGGTCCTGTAGATGTGCTTGCTGTCTATTTGACAGCTGATCATGCCTTACCATGTTATTTTGGTTAAATACAGCCGTAACGATTACTTCCCTCGCTTCATTTTCTGTGCCTTTTACAGTGTCAATGAATTGTTCTTTTAAGTCATTTGTTTCTTTTGAATACTGCTATTGTATGATTTTAACATTGCTGTTTTTGTTATTGTTAATTTTTTTGTCTTTCAATATAATTTTTCATATGAATATTAAAAAACTGTTTATGCACTGTAAAAAATTATATAATCTTAAGACTGACTTAAACATCCAAGTTGATTGTTACTTAAAAATGTAATGCAACTTTTTTTTACAGTGTGGCAAATAAAAATTATTTTTATAATTTTATAAATAAATAAAAGTTTTCAGATTTTTAAAATCTTTTTCAAAAAAAGATGTTTTTGTCAGAAAATGAACAACATTCCTTTTTTATTTGAACAGCTGTGCCCTGACCTTTTTTAAGGGACTACAAACAAATAATTGCATTATGAAGTTAGACTTTCGGTGTCATTTCAACTTATTTCATGCACATGCTGTTTTGTGATCTCATATTTCAACAGGCAGCACTTTGAGGCTTTTTTCATGAAGTAATCATGTACAATTTGACAATCACACTGCTAAAAGCACACTTTAAAAAAAATCAATATTCATTAAGCTCTATTTGCGGTTAGCATTAAAGCGGAGACTTTATGTGAAAAGTGAAGTGCACAACAGTGGGGCACTACAAGAGCAGAACAGAAACTGTCTCCTCACACATAACCAGAACAAATTGTTTCCCTTTTTTACTTATGTAAAGCATTATGTTGCAATTCACCTCTTTGTTTGACCTAACACGCACTAATCTGCTGCCTTAAAGATGTCGGGTATAGAGATTTCCAGCCTCTAGATTTCCACATTCCATCCTCCAGATTCCAGAATTCCAATAATAATAAGCTCATTGTCAGTTCCACAAATCAGTTTTATATCTAATCCAAAATGCAGCGTTGGGGTTTCGTTCGTTTGACTCAGTGATGTTGCATGATGGGCAAATGTGCCTATACACATCTGTAGCCGGTTTTGACTTCCAGCAGAACCTGATGAGCTGGTTTCGTCACAGTCCTTTACTGAGTGGGAGGGGGGAGGATGGACAGGGGAGGGATTTGATGAGCTGTGGTGAATGCCAGAGCCAGAAAAGGAGAAGATAAAGGAGGGTGTGGAAAACAAATTCAGAGAGAGCCAGAAAAGGGAGTGTCATAGCAGAATCCATCTCTTTCAGTTTACCAACTCATTTGGAGTGTTACCAGCTATGTCTGTACCAGCTATGGATTCTTTTAAGACTATCCTAAAGTTCCTCACGAATCAGAAGAGCACTATTGGCTACAGCTTCATGGCTATTTTGACCATAGGTAGTGAAAGAATCTTCTCTATGGTGTCTTTCCAGTGTCCGTGCAACCCAGGACAGAATTTTGCCTATGGATTAACTTTCCTGCTGGGCCCTGCAGTCGTCTTGCTGGCGATTGGTCTCTTTGTTAGTACACGTCTTTGGCGGTTATATACTGGGTGTTGTCTCAACCCTATCAAGCTATGCCCCAGGGGTAACTTTATGGGATGCTTGTCAGTGTTTGTGAAAGTGCTAACTGGAGCCTGCATTGCCCCTATTATGTGGCTTACTGTAGCACTGTTAAATGGAACTTTTTATGAGTGTGCTGTCAGTGGCCTGGATGAAAATATGGTGGTGAATATTTTCTGCCAAAACAAGACACCTACATGCCGGGAAGAGCTGCCCCGAGTGCCCTGCAGCAAGTCCCAGTTGCCTCCAAACGAAAATATGGAACTGCTGTTGATGCTGCGAGCCCAGTCACAGGTGAGCACGACTACACTCTTAAAAATAAAGGTTCTTTATTAGCATTTATGGTTACATGAAGAACCTTTAACATTCATGGAACCTTTCCATTCCACGAAAGGCCTGTATATTGCAGTGTTCGTCTTATGGCTAAGCTTTTGTTCAGTGTAGTGGACTATTTTTTCTTAAAGTCCCCCTATAGTCAATAATTTTATCCCTTAAAACTCATCTTTGATCACCAAAATTATATATTTAAACCTTTTTTATCCTTCCTGCCTTAAAATAGTAACTCCACACCCTTGCCTCATGTAGTATACGCGGTTCTATATGCAAATTAGCCCCGCCCCCACTCACTCGCCCCAGCTCAGAAATCCACTTGTTGATGATCACACATTGACGTGATTGGTTACAAGGTAGTTTGTGACGTCAGAAATACCAGCGATTTCAAACTTTGAGACTGTCTTTGGTTCATTGCAGTTTTAAGGAGAAAATACTCTTATGAATTTGCACATTATTTTCTCTAAAAGAATATTAAAAACACCACATAGATATAGACAACATTAAAAGCTTGATTTTCACCACAGGGGGCTTTAAGAAAAGCTTTAGAGATATGGTCACAATTACTGTCGTTCTGCAAATTTTCGCTGGTGAAATGCTGTCATTTCTAATCCACAAATTGAGAATTTCAGGTCGGAGCGAAAGATTTCCGCAGATTTAGTAACAGGTTCAAGTTGGTCACGTGGGTTCACCACAGTTTGTAAGTGATTTGTAAGTGACTTCTGTGTGCACCGTGCTTTATGCTTTGCTACAATATTGACAAACACAATTGAGATTTTTTACCTGAAAATTTTGGGTAGCCTAATGTGACAGCACCTTAACATTTTAGAATTATCACAACTTAGCAATATTTCATATCAAGTTTACCAGAGAGCTGTGTAATAATTTATGACAATAACTATATTTTATAACATTCAACTGATTGATTTATGTTCGCAGATACTCGGCTGGTCCATCATTATCATATCAGCAATAGTAGCGCTGATCGGGACTTGCTTTAAGAACTGTCGCTCTCAAGTAAGCTACATTCAGTTAACTTTCCATAAAATCTACATGGAGAAGGAAAGGGAAAAGTTTGAGACTTTTGCAGAAAACTATGCCACCAAACTAGCAGAGAGAAACCTCGAGGCTTTCTTTGACAACAAGTGCCCTGAACCATTTAACTTTCCAAATCACAAGGCCTGGGAGGAGATCTCTGCTGTATACACCTTTAAAAAAAGCGAACAGTACTACAGCACACTGCAGAGATACGTGGAGCGCACAGATCGAGACTTCAACCCTGAGAAGCGCCCTGTTCTAGAGGGGGAAGATGGCATAGAGATGGCTTAGAAGCACAAAGCTGCATGGACTGGTAACTGAATTGCCAAGAATATGACCTTGAAGACGACAAACCAGTGTGAATCTAAACAGAGTTAGATTTTAGTTTGGTAGCTACAACCTGTATTGAAAATAAAGTAACTGGAAGTTTTGTTTTATCCACTTAGGAGGTGGTCCTGGCGCAATTCAGACTGCAAATATTTTTGTAGCATTTTATACTTCAATGAACAAACACAGGTCTTAGACCCAAAGATTCGGACAGATTTGAGTGTCTGTGGTGTTTTCAATAACAACATCCAATTTGTATATTGTTTGAATGTTGCATTTCAGGTTTTACAAAGTCAAGGAAAGGAAAAACACACTTATTCTCAGGTCATTTGTCATTTAGGCCCTCTGTGAATCCAGAGCTCTCTTATGCTCTTATAAAGCAGTGTGTTCAATGCACTTTAATGCATGACAACCTCTTGTATTATGTAGTATTGGTATGTAATTATCCAGTCGAACAATACTGATTAAAATGTACAATCTGATCACATTGTACTTATGCCATCCAACGAAATATAGAACATGTAAACATGTAAACCACACTGCTTATTTCCTCTGCAGGTTTTAAGTTTTGACAAACAGGAAAACCACATTACAGTCCGCGACACACATTTCTTCAGTCATTTTGACCCACATATCAGCTCTGAATAATGACCCTTTGATCAAAACAAGTTTCTGTTAGCATAGTTTTTCAAAAAGCATAAACAGAACGAGTTACTATATCAAAATTATTATACATGGTAAAATGCTGGTTTACGGCATGTTTGTGGTGTTTATTTCCTGTTGTCAAAGAGAATCACATATACTCAGGTTGTTGGTCAGTGGACTGCAAAAAAACAACATGTCAAAACATAACAATAATAATAATGATAACAACAATATATGTTATTTATTGTAAGGCAGTTTAATTCAAGTTTAAGTGTGCAAAAAGTAAAAAACAATTGCTTAGAAGTAACAAAACATATTGTCCTGTCTCTCTTCAAACATGGCAAAAAAGGATGTTGAAATTAACAATAAAAAATTGTACTAACAAAACCTGATATAGATCAATTACAGTTGTGAGTTTGGCCCAAAACATAAAAATTAATAAATCATGCAGTAAACCAAACTAAATGACTTGGAGCTCATATTACTATGACAAACGCACAGTCTATACAGACAAAAAGTTTTTTCTTGAGTTTAGAAGTGAATGATGCTGAACTGTTATATTGTGTTTATATTGTTTGTTTGTTTTTTGCAATTTTGTACTGATTGCATATATACGTTTTGTATTTCTTGCATTAAAATATAGCAAAATTGTACCATCATTTTCGCTGCTGAAAAGTCAATTCTGTTTTGTGCTGTATTTTCCTAGATTCCATTCCAATGAGACACATCTTAAATGGCCAATTGCATTATTTGTTAAGAAGTGTTGGAATATAGCTATTAAATATATGGAATATGGCCTATTAAAACGTATCGCTGGTTAACAGTATGCGTGTGATGGCAGTGGTCAAGCTGATCTACCTGCAAGCGGACTGTGCCAGTATTACAAAAGCTGAAGTAAGTCCCTCTTAGAATTTAAGATGGTCTGAAATGGTCTACGCTATTTCAGCAGATTTGACAGGATATAACTGTACACAAAACCATATCTAGGATAGGGAAGGACTTAATTTTTGTAGTTACTTGCCTGTACATTCAATATATAAGTGTAGGTCAGAGGCAATAAAAAAAAGATTTTTTTATTTTTTTATTTTATCATTTCCTCTGACCTACACTTCCATCAGTGTCTGTTTAATTCATTAATCCCAGTAAAAGGGATTTTAAAAGGTTTGTGAAATGGGCTGCATGCTCAGCTAAAATTAAACTTTAAATAAAGAAGTAGGCTAATATAAAAGACAACGATTATAAATTAATTCCTGGATGTTATGATTTAAAACTGATTAAATCTAATATAATTACAGATATAAGTTGACATTTATTATATAAATATAAACTTGCTTTGATAGTGGAGTAGAGAGGCAGTTTTAGGAAAGCTGCTGGACCGTCAGGCCATAATAATCCATGCCAGATTCGAGCCTTTTTATATATGTTTTTCTTTTATCCATTGTTTATTGTATATACAATATATTGCAACAGATTAAATAGTGTGATAGCACGAATTACTACAATTGTACTAATGTTTAGCAGAACGAGTAAAAGTGTGCACCCAGACACAAGCTCAGACATCATTGATGATCCCAGATGACATCGATGCTAGACAGGCCTTAGCACACGTTTCTTCCATGCAAGCTCTAATCTATGGACATTTGTGACATAAAATGACAGACTACAGCGAGGAGCAGAGGAATGAACTAGAAGCAATTGAGTCCATTTACCCAGACTCATTTACAGGTAAGACAGAGCGCAAAGTATATGGTTTTTATGTCCATAACTTCGTTACGCTTTCCATTAGCTGCCTAGCTTCACATGAAACAAAGTTAGTTAATCATACGAGCGACTCAGTCATCTCTTTGACATCTTTCTTTATAGCCGCAGATTGAGCTGTCAAAGGTTAAGAAACAATGCAAACGATAACCGATGGCTAGCAGAAGTTGACTGGCTAACTGTTATGTTAAACATCAGATTTATGTTTACGTGCTAAACATGGAAGCGGTGATCTCTGAAGGTTTTCTTAGATTGTTTGTAATATCCATATTCATGCAGTGCTTTCCGAGAACCCCACAAGTTTCACCATCACAGTTACTTCTGATCCGGGAGAAGATGATGAAAGTAAGTTCATGTGGCTTATTATCTCATCAAAAGTAGAACAATGTCAGTGCACGTAATGTTACAGTATCTTTTTTTACCATCATTAAAGTTTAGCACTAAACACCACCAGCACTGATTTCTGTCTGTTTCAGCGGTGGAGGCGACCATGAAGTTTACATATTTGGAGAAATATCCAGACGAGCCCCCTCTCTGGGAGATATTTTCACAGGAGAACCTGGAAGATTCAGACGCTGAAGGCATTCTAACGCTTTTGAAGCAACAGGTCTGCACACCTGACATCATACCCAGCAAAACACATTAAACAACTGATAAAGCGCACATACTGATGATGGCTTACGCTTCTTTTGCTGTCCTGTAGGCCTTTCTAATAACTTCTTTCTTTTGCAGGCTGAAGAAAACCTGGGAATGGTCATGATATTCACATTAGTTACAGCTGTGCAGGAGAAACTTAATGAAATAGTAGACCAGATTAAGAGCAGAAGAGAAGAGGAGAAAGAAAGAAAAGAAATAAAAGAAAGGGAGGCCGAAGAAGCTGAGAAGGTTTGTTGTGAGCATGTACCTTCTGAGTGTAGTGTAACATTAATCATGAAATCCAAAAGCATCTTTTATAGTTATCCTCAGGATATTGACTGTTTTTAGCTGTTACTCGAAATTTAACAGACAGGGCAAAGTCAATTTCATACTTTTTCAGAGCCATTCGAAAACTGGCCATGGAAAGATTGTTTTATAAGACAGTATATATAATATACAGTTTTATATAATGAAAGATTTGTGTTTTACATCTTACTTTCAATAACATTTGTTTAGCCAGAATACACAAGCACTGTGCTGTCAATGAAGCAAAATTGTGCCACATGTAATTACAGCATCTGCCAGTAGAGGCCCACAATAACCAACAAAACTTCGACCAGTTGGGTTGAACTAGTCCATCCCAACTGTGAGGCAATGTTGCTTTTGTATAATTTAAAGAATGTTATTGTCTTGAATGGTAGATTTGTTAGTAGTTACACTGGGGGTTAAAAGTTAAGGTGGAATAATTACAGTAAAAACAGTAATATTGTGAATTATTATTATTATTACAATTTAAAACAACTTTCTATTTTAATATATTTTCAAAGGTAATGAATTCAAATTTTCAGCATCATTACTCCTGTCTTTAGTGTCACATGATTTACAGATCAGTATACCCTCAATTTGGCTCTGAGGATACTGGATGATCCATCCCACCCACTTTGCTCAGAGTTTTCCCCCCTACCCTCTGGACGTAGATTTCGAATGCCCCGAACAAAAACCAAACGTTACCAAACACAGATATTTTTTTAATAGTGTATTATTAATTAATTATTTAATTATTTATCGATTATTCATTTTAGCTATTGGATTGATGATCGCATGTTACCACCATTGCTGTGTTGTTGTTGTTTGTTTTTGTTTTTTGTATCCTCTATGTCCACAATGTTGTTGGATATTTGGGGTGGTTTACTGTTGCTGATGTTCAATGTGGCTCTCTTGAGTGCAAAACAAATTCCCCTCGGGGCAATAAAGGTTTCATAAAAAAATAAAAAAAGATCCTTCAGAAATCATTATAATATGCTGATTTGCTGCTCTTGAAACATTTCTTACTTTTATCAATGTTGAAAACAGTTGAGCTGCTTAATATTTTTGTGGTAACCATGATGTACTACCATTTAAAAGTTTGGTGTAAGTAATAATTTCTATTTCAAAAAATGATCTTAGTTTCAACAAAAATATTAAGCAGCTAAAATGTTTTTAACATTAATAAAAAATAAGAACCTAACATTATTACATTGAGCTTCAATAATAATTGATAATAACAGATCACTAAATTAGCATATTAGAATGACTTCTGAAAGATCATGTGACACTGAAGACCGTAGCAACAGCTGCTGAACATTCATCTGTGCCACCACATTATTACATTTTAAAATATATTTAAAATAGTTATTTTAAAATGTACTAATATTTCACAATATTACTGTTTTGCTGTATTTATGATCAAATAAATGCAGCCTTGGTGAGAGACTAATTTAAAAAACGTCAAATATCTTAAATCTTAAAAAAATTGACCTCCATTGTAGATAGCTACACTTTTTTTTTAAATGGAAAATGTTTTTGTTTTTTTACTGATCTTTGTTTCTGTTTTGTTTTTCACAGTTTGCATTCCAAGGTACTGTGGTCACAATTGAGAATTTCTTATCATGGAAAGCAAAATTTGAGCAAGAAATGACAGAACTAAAGAGTAAAAGGCAGAAAGAAGAGGAGCAGGCAGGAAAGGCAAAACTCACAGGTGAATTACTAACCTGATATTTACTCATCTGATTTACGTTGTCACGTTCTGCTCATTTACTTTTTTCTATTACAGGAAAACAGCTCTTTGAGACAGACCATAATCTTGACACATCAGATATCCAGTTCTTGGAGGACGGTAAGAAATGTCAATTGTTATTATTCTAAAAAAGTTTTATAGCATCTCATTTGCTTTTTTGCGATTGTTGTTCAAAATGGCTCTTCTCTGCTTTTTCCGTGTAGTTGGGAGCAGTGTGGAAGTGGATGAGTCGCTCTTCCAAGACATGGACGATTTGGACTTGGATGAGGACGACCCTGATTTCAACCCACTGGACTTGGGCAGTGATGAAGACTGAATTGTTAACTCTCAACCTGATATGAATGGTATAGATGCCAATATCCTCCTGTGGAGCTGGACTTCAGCTCATCCGCGCTAAACACAAACTTTTCAGTCACTACCATCTATGGTGCAGAATATTTTATGAAAACTTTCAAACATTGTCATTTGTACAATTATTGCCATTAAAAACCATTGACTTGTTCTCTTATTCATATGAATGGCTTCATTTACACAAGAGTTAAGTTGAGGCTTCCCAGAAATGTGGCCTGGCAAGTAGTGCAACCTGAGTCTCTCAGTAAAATCATTTACCTCTTTTTCCTCTTGTCTTCCTACTGTATATAAGGCTATTAAGCATATTAAAAAGCACTTTTAGGAAAAACTGAGTAAAATTAAATCTTTACCTTTCAATATTAAACAGCTGTTTTTACATTATCTTTCTTATATATATTTATATACATTCACCTAAAGGATTATTAGGAACACCATACTAATACTGTGTTTGACCCCCTTTCGCCTTCAGAACTGCCTTAATTCTACGTGACATTGATTCAACAAGGTGCTGAAAGCATTCTTTAGAAATGTTGGCCCATATTGATAGGATAGCATCTTGCAGTTGATGGAGATTTGTGGGATGCACATCCAGGGCACGAAGCTCCCGTTCCACCACATCCCAAAGATGCTCTATTGGGTTGAGATCTGGTGAATGTGGGGGCCATTTTAGTACAGTGAACTCATTGTCATGTTCAAGAAACACATTTTTAAATGATTCAAGCTTTGTGACATGGTGCATTGTCCTGCTGGAAGATATCAGAGGATGGGTACATGGTGGCCATAAAGGGATGGACATGGTCAGAAACAATGCTCAGGTAGGCCGGGGCATTTAAACAATGCCCAATTGGCACTAAGGGGCCTAAAGTGTGCCAAGAAAACATCCCCCACACCATTACACCACCACCACCAGCCTGCACAGTGGTAACAAGGCATGATGGATCCATGTTCTCATTCTGTTTACGCCAAATTCTGACTCTACCATCTGAATGTCTCAACAGAAATCGAGACTCAACAGACCAAGCAACATTTTTCCAGTCTTCAACTGTCCAATTTTGGTGAGCTCTTGCAAATTGTAGCCTCTTTTTCCTATTTGTAGTGGAGATGAGTGGTACCCGGTGGGGTCTTCTGCTGTTGTAGCCCATCCACCTCAAGGTTGTGCGTGTGGCTTCACAAATGCTTTGCTGCATACCTTGGTTGTAACGAGTGGTTATTTCAGTCAAAGTTGCTCTTCTATCAGCTTGAATCAGTCGGCCCATTCTCCTCTGACCTCTAGCATCAACAAGGCATTTTCGCCCACAGAACTGTCGCATACTGGATGTTTTTCACTTTTCACACCATTCTTTGTAAACCCTAGAAATGGTTGTGCGTGAAAATCCCTGTAACTGAGCAGATTGTGAAATACTCAGACCGGCCCGTCTGGCACCAACAACCATGCCACGCTCAAAATTGCTTAAATCACCTTTCTTTCCCATTCTGACATTCAGATTGGAGTTCAGGAGATTGTCTTGACCAGGACCACACCCCTAAATGCATTGAAGCAACTGCCATGTGATTGGTTGATTAGATAATTGCATTAATGAGAAATTGAACAGGTGTTCCTTTAGGATGAGTGTATATCATTTGTGGAAGACGTAGGGCCATAAAATCCTCCTTGCTCTGCGCGTTCAAGTGTTTTGGAGGAGGCGTGGCTTTGTAGACTCCTCTCAGAAAGGAGGGTTGGATCTTATTTCAAAGCTAGCTTGCTATTGCTAGCCTCTCCAAAAATTACCTACCTTACATTTATTAATGTAAGAGATTAGGCTGTCTTAGAACAGTACATGATTAGAACAGATTTAATTCTTATCTGTATACAATGATTTACTCGATGGGTGGAAACATTCAAGAGGTAGTGGTTCATAAGAGTCTTAAAAGATATAGTCAATCCAAAAATTAACACACAGATAATGTGTTATCACTATCAGTAAAAACTTCTCATGATTATAAAATTAAGATTCTGTCATCATTTATTCCCCCTCATGTTTTTCCACACCTGTATAACTTTCTAAATCAGGATCAAAATCAGCAGATTAAGTCCCAGCCCCCATATACAAAAAGGCTGTCACTAACATTCTGATAACATCTCCTTTTGTCGAACAACATGAAATGACAGAATCTTTATTGTGAGAATTTTTACTGATAGTAAACTTGATAATTATTCTTTGTTTGTGCTAAGTTAGGTGAATTCTGAGCGCGTACCATGGATTGAGTTTTCAGACTGTGAGAAACAGTTTGTTTCTTCCCCCTCCCCTAGGATCCGTGTGTCATCTGCCATAGGCCTACAATAAAATAACTAAAACAACTACGCCTTTCCAATGTACAAAAGGCGGTTTTCACAATAATGCCATAGAATAACCATTTTGGGTTCCTCAAAGTACCTTTCAGTCATCATTTCTCAAAAGAAACATGTTTTTCTCAGTGTAAAGAACATTACAATATTCTAAAGAACCCTTTTCCACTATAGAGACCCTTTTGTCCCATTGAAAGGTTTAAGAGTGTGCAGTGTTGTATTTGCAATTTCATTAAAAATGCTTCAGACTATTACAAATGTTTAAATGTCTCTTTACTTTTCCTGTTGACCCATGGGCCATCTATATGGCCAGAAATCCAAAGGATGTTTGGTGTCCTAATTCCATTTTCACAAATATGCTGGAGACCCCAAAATATTTGATACATTTTTCTGAGAAATTCATGAAAGGAAATGGTCAACAAAATGCTTTTTCTTTAATCTAATCTACTATAAATTCTTATTTCAATCAAAACCACTGTTTTAGGGTTAACCGTGCATTAAGCCATGTTAAGTTTTCTGTATAACAAGTTATAAGTGTGAAAAAGCTTAATATAAAAAAATTGTTTTTCTTTATTAAGTATAGCATAAGAATTTTGGTTCCCCCCTGGAAGTCTTTTGTACAAAAAAACACATTGGGTGTGTTAGAATGTCTTAAACCCTGGTTTGCTGCCTACCTGTTAAGGTGTGTGGTTCACTTACCTGCCATCTCTCTCTCCTCTGGAGTGACTGTGAGATTTCTCTCTGTCCTGTGACTTGCCGGTCATCTGCCCTGATTAAATCAGGAAGCGTATTTTGGCATGTTACACATTTTGGCCATAAAACAGAGAAAGGAGGTGAGGTTCTGTAAATTATTCGAATTTCGCCTGTGGGGTGGGAAAAGCAGAGTCGTACACTGATAGTTCAGATCGACTCACAGTGCATAAGGCTAAAGGCTGACAAACACCCCTTGACCGCTGATAGGGTCAACAATGGATACCACGTGCATAAAACTGTAATTGAAAGACAAAATGAACTAATCATTCAATGAATCAAAATCTGAAGAACTGAAGATTCACACACATGATGACACAATAATAACTGACTTATTGTGCAGCTAGTAAGATAAAACTCTTTATTTATTATTGTTTGACATTTATACAAAAATACAGTGTTTCATAATCTGTTTCAAGAGACTAGTAGATAAAAGTAGCTGGGAATACATAAAACTGCAGCAGATGTGCACAACTGCATCAAGGAATTTTCTCAGCACATAGTGTTCTTGAATTGAGAATGCGGCTCTGAAAAACAAACACGCCATTCAGTAGTTGAACAGTTTAACATAGACTGCCCATACAAAAATATCTAGATGAAATACATTAATGAAATTAAGAGTAAATTAATCAAATAAATTAATAATAGTTAATTTCAGCAGTTATAATGCCCAAATAAATAACTAGCAATGAATTCCTAAAGCTGTAGGTCTAAATTACCTGTTTCTCTTCGGGTGTAAGCACCCCTTCTACGGCAACCACTTGATACTGTCTGTGTTTTAGGCCACCGGGCAATTTGCGCATACGGCGTACCATAGTAGCTACTGTATTCTGTGACAACACTCTCCTTATTTCCCCAGGTGCAAACTCCGGATCAAAGAGGAGCAGAAACAGGTTGCCATTTACTTTCTGTTCCACTCCTACAATCGAGCGACTGTGGCCTGATCATAAAGACAGAACAACATGTACGTTATCCTACAAAGGCAATTGTTTTCCTGTGAGGTCAATGCTATCTAGACTTTCATGCGGGACAAGTGCTGTAGTTTACAAGAGAAACCCGAGTCTTGAAATACCTTGGTGCTGGAGGTATAAAGGTGGTGATGTTGTTTGCACTACTTTGGGCGGCAGTCTTGCACTCCTACTGGCAGAATGTGAGAAATATTGTTTTACCCACTCAAACATTCTGAGGTGTGTGTCTCCTGGGCCAGTGGGCTTGTGAAAATCCACAATCCGGGCTCTAAAAATGAAGGAAATTTAAGATATGAACTTAATATTATTTAAGCTATGTAAATGTACTGTCCTGTTCAAAAGGTTAGGGTCAGTAAGATTTTGTAATGTTTTTGAAATAAGTCTTCTGTGCTCAGTAATGCTGCGTTCATGAAATATTTCAACAATTGAAAGTAACCTTTTTATTTTAATATATTTTAAAATGTAATTTATTCCTGTAATGTCAAATCTGATTTTTCAGGATCATTACTCCAGTCTTCAGTGTCACATGTTCTAATATGCTGATTTAGTGCTCAACACATTTTTTTTGAGGAAACAGCAATATATAAATATTTTCAGGATTCTTTGATGAATACAAAGTTCAAAAGAACAATCTATTTGAAATAGATTTTTTTTTAGCAATGTATACGTCATTACTGACATTTTTAATTAATTTAATGCACCCTTGTTGAATAAACGTAATAATTTTTTTCAAAACAAAAATCTTAGTGACCCCAAACTTTTAGTGTATGTGTGAATGTAAACTTGGGATTTCAATATATACTTCACACTAAGGGAGGTGAGAACTGCATAGATTTCTGTAGCTCCTATCCAAGCCCGTGTCCCCTGCAGTCGATGTTTGAAGTGTGAAGCACCCTGAGGATCTGCGCCTTGAGCCCACGCCTCCTCGATCATGGCCTGCACTCTCGGGATGCTGGGAACTGAAACTGAAGGAAAATTTTATGATGGTACTACTCAACAAGGAGCTAAGAGAATACATGATGTTGCTGATGTTGTACCCGGTAAAAGGTTATACTGCTCCATCCTGTGCAAAGATGAAAGAAGCATCTGGAAGTTTCTGTAGCCGCATCCCCAACCTTTGTCCCCCTCCGAAGAGGAGTAGTGATCAGTCTCAGCACAGAGCCACACATGCGAACAGTCGGAGGCGTCCCTCTGGTAGTACCTATACAGAGCTTCCATAAGTCCTGAAACAGAAAGGTTAATCAGCTAAATCTAAACCTTCAGTTGATTTATGCAGTTTCATTTTTTACAGGTTTCTGTATAATTTAAATATAACAATTATAAAATTAAAAATAACAATAATAATAATAACAACAATAATAAATGATTGTTATTTATGAAAAAAAGATTTAAAAACAAATAAATTCATAAAAAATGAATCATGTATAATTAATAAAAAAAATACATACATACGCTACCATTCAAAAGTTTGGGTCAGTAAGATTTTTTAAAATTAATAAATTTTATCCAACGAGGAGACATTAAAATTATCAAAAGTGACAGTAAAAACATTAATAATTTTGCCAAAAAGAATCCATTTCAGATAATCTTTTGATTTTATTTTTATTATCATGTTTTTTTTACTCATTTTTTACCATAAAAATATTAAGCAGCACAACTGTTTTCAACATGGATAATAATAAGACATTTTTCTTGAGCACTAAATCAGCATATTAGAATGACTGGAGTAATAAACATAACATTTTAGAAAATAAAAATCAGTTATTTAAAATATTTTATTTGTTTAATATTAAATTTGAAATATTTCACAATAATATGTTTTTTACTGTAGTTTTGATCAAATGAATGCAGTCTTGATGAGCATAAGAGACTTCAAACTTTTGAACAGAGCTGTAAATTTAAGTCAGTTATAAAGATACAGAACTGGACAGATTTTCAGTCCAATAATTTACCAACTGGACCAAATATGTGTAGATTAGTAGTATAGCTATGATGCAGTCCCTATCAGACCTGATGTTTTGCTTCTGCCATCATCCACCCCCGAGGCCAGAGATTCAAGCATCTCCACTCTTTTCCTGTGGAACTCAGCAGGAACCATCTGACCTCTAGACACAGCCCTCTCCATATTCCTCTCCATTTGCTTGCGATAACCACCACTGTTATCAAGCCCAAACTCCTTCTAAAAACCACAGGAAGATAAAAAATAAAGTGTTTTTTTTTTTGTGGTGGATTCAACACGAAGGTGAGTAAATAACATAATTTTAATATTTTGGGTGCACATTTCCTTGAATTCTAACAGTGAAGATGTCTGTAGCTTACCTGGAGCTTCTTAAAGTCCTCGGCTTCCCGTCTGCTCTCTAGCTCCCTCCACTTTTGCTCCTCTTCCTCCTGAAGCTTCCTAGCCAGATTCAGGTCTCCAGATGAATGTCCTTAAAACCCAAACCAAGTGAACATCAAGTCAGATATTTTTTTTTTAAACACAGTTTTGCTGTGCCAATAGTGTCTTTTCTTGATGCATTGTACTTGTGAAGACAACCTACAGAATTTAGGTTGCAACTCTTACAAACAATTCTATGAAAAATTTCATATGCTTTTGTGTACTTAATAATATCCACATGCCTGTTGCAGATGCTGAGTCGTATTCCAGGTGTAGCTCAACATGCTCCTGCAGGGAGGTGCTGCTGGAACAGCTCAAAGAACACATTGGACACTCATAACGTATCACACCTGGAGATTCCAATTATACAGTTACAGTTTAGTTTGGTCATTCACTTTTTGAATGAGCAGAGCTGCCATATCCTTGCTAACTCACCTGATCTGCCATTGCTTGTAGAAGATGCTTCTGTTGAAGTGCCAACATCAGGATCGGCCCCTTAAGAGGGCAAACCATATCAGACATCAATCATAGACCGTTAGTGATGAAAAAGAGGGTAAAATAAACAATTTGTTACTTTGTAAACATGCAAATATTCTTGATGTTTTGAGCTAAGACACCTTCAGTCACACCTTGGTCCTGTAAATGAAGCTCAACATGCTCCTGCAGAATAAAGCAGTCATTGCAGACCAAACTGCACATTGGACATGGAAATCGCCCCTCTGCAACACACAAAGGGAAAAGTATTAGCCTAATGGCTTACTGTAAAATCAGTTTTATGTTGTAAAGTCAAGAGCACCTTTATTAGGTGAGGACAAGCGCTGCTGCTTTGATTTTCGATGCCCATCTTCTCTCTCTCTTCTGGGGTTAGTGCTGGGTGTTTGTGTAGTCCTGACCAGTTGTATTGCACCATTCGCTGTGGCTGCGGCAGGTGGTGAACTATTCAAGCTAGTCGAGGTTTCCTGAGAAAGGGTGGTCCCTGTAATCGGAACGGCCATCCCATTTTCCTGACAGGGTGAAGGGTGGCCAGATGACGGGGGTGAGACTTGAGATACCTTGTGCTTATTTTTCACATTGGAAGTCCTTGAAGTATTGAGACTTTGAGCAAACCAGTCATTTGAGTTTTTCTGTCCACTGTCAACCACTGTTGCATTCATGTCCTTGCAGTCTTTTTCTATGTGTGCGGTATTGATGTGGAAGCTCAACTCATCGTACAAGACCCCGGACAAAGAGCAGAACGGGCAGGCCATCACATTCTCCATGTGACTCAGGAGGAGATGGGTTTTCATCTCTGCTTCAGATGGGAGCTCTTCACAGCAGATGTCACACACAGGCATCACACAAGGCTGGATGAAACGAACGGAAGAATAGTTTCAGCCAAAATTTCATAGTTAGAACAGGTTTTGTTAGCACAATAAAACTGGGGCAAATTTACAACCACTACCATCAAGGGGGGAAAAAACAATCAAAATGATAGAGTGATCCCGAAAGCTTCTTACACTGTCTGAAGGATATCTAATATTAATTTATTCTGATTTTACAATAGTACAGACCTGTCACAATGACTTTAATATATCTTGCTTTGAAATTGAATGCCTGTGGGCTTAATTATCCTGCCTTAATATTACAATAGAAAGTGAAGGAATGACCGGAATACATCAAAATGTATTACATAACACTATATTCATATTTAATAACTATAACCACAATTAATATATTACTATAAAATATGAAATATTCAGGGGGTTTTTTTATTCTAAAAACCATTAGTGTGAATGGCAAGTGGAATAATACTAAAGTGGTCGGGGGAAAAGATAAATATGGTAAACGTCTGTTCATATTTTAATATAAATACTATTAATATTAAACAATTATTTGTGTGCAACGTTTGTTTATAAAGCCATAAAGGAAATTATAATCACATTTATTTATGTGACAATTAATAGACAGCCAAAAGCTCATAACTGAAACAGATATGTTTAGCTTGGTAAATTTTTGTAAGGGACGCATTTAAAATGTCATTATCAGCTAATAGCAAAACTCCGAGAGGCGGCTATTAGGCCTGAAATCTTGATTTTACTAAGACGCTCCTGACGCGACATTATGCATCGATTCTGTCAACAAAACTGTACAATAAAGCTGCAACACAAACAATAACATATATAACATGTAAAAGTCTTCTTCTACTGACTGCACAACAACAAAATCCAGCCTGAAACTATCTCGAAATCGCTATTTGAATGCAACGTAAGTTACCTTTTTAGAGGTAGAAATGTTGACTTGAACAATAACCCGTTTCGCTTTCCATTTATTTTTATTGAATGAGGCCGCTAGTGAAAACCAGAAACAGCAGCGGAAGTGACGTTCACGCCAAGTCGACGCCATATTGCCCTCAGCTGGAAGAACGCGGGAGGGTCTTGAGAGAAATTTAAAAACACACGACCAGCGTTTCCCTCTCCGAACCACGACTAATGGGTGAGAATCATACATTATCTAAGATGTAAATGTCTTTTCTTTTCAGGGAGTGAATAAGGTAACATGGCATTTAGACAGAGTAATTAAACATTTGGACGTTTATGCCAAGCTAGCATAACACGGTTAGCATGTTAGCATAGAGCACAGTTTAGGATCAAAGTGGAAAAGCCTGCTGGAATTAAGCGATTATAAACCTCTAACGTATTAAAAGTGTGTTTGTGGCTTTATATGACTGATTTGATTTGTGACCTGTATGGTCTTGGTTGCAACTGTCAAGCTATTGCACACTAAATATGTTCTAATGCGCAACAGAAATTGATGGAGACCAGGAAAATGTAGTTGTTTGACGAGCCAAATAAACTGTGGTATCAATGTTGGTACTCTGGCTTATACTTAATGAGAACCATGATTGCTTATGTAGTGTATGGAAAAATGTGTGTGTTGTATGAGTCCAGTCCTCCCATATTCATACATAACAAGCTGATCTGATTAAAACAGCATTGTTTACAAGTGCTGCATTTGTCTAAACCGAGTATTTATAAGGTAGAGAAGATGGACGTATGGTTTGAACCTTGAAGAGAAAGGTTTTCCTAAAAATGAAACTGCTGTCTTTGTGTTCATGTTGTTCCAATCCCATCCTGTATGATTTTCTTTCTTCCACTGTGGAACATAAAAGATGTAAGACACTCGTTCATCTTTGGAACACAAATGAAGATCTTTTTGATTAAATCTGAGAGCTTTCTGTCCCTCCATTGATAGCTACGCAACTACCACTTTAACGCTCCAAAAAGTTTATAAAGAGATCGTAAAACTAATCCATATGAATTGAGCGGTTTAGTCCAATTGTTCTGAAGAGACACGATCACTTAATATGATGAACAGATTGATTTTAGGCTTTTATTCACATAAAACATTCATCAACTCACACATCAGTTGGGGTAAACGGAAGTGCAACTATGTTTGCTTGATGTGCAAGAACTGACGAGGTAGATTCTCGTGTGTTACGGGCTTCCGTAAGAACCAATAAGGTCCAATCCCGTGTGTTACGCAGTAAGTTTGAGCTTCTGTAAGAACCAATGAGGTTCAATCTCGTGTTACTCACATAGACTGTATAATACAATGGACGTAGTGTCCGTGACGTCACCCGTAGGTTTCGGAAGAGCATTTTTGAAGCCCAAAGTGGGCGGAACTGGCCGTTGCTATCTTGGCACTCCCTCACTCCCAAATATCCGAAAATGGGAAAAGAGGCGGGACGTGGGTGGAGCTGAGGTGTCTGGTTTTATATAGTCTGTAATTACAGGCCTGTTTCCTATACATATTTTTGAGGACATGTCAACAATTAAAACAAATACTTCCAATATAGTCTGTGTCTAGTAAATGTTACGCTATTTATGAAATGCATGCGTAACATTATATGACAACGTTTCAGACTGTTTTATACAGTCTATGGTTTCAGCCTACAGCTAATCGCAGTCTGTCGGATTCTGAAATGTAGTAAAGTTTTAAATAAAATTAGAAATAATAAATAAAATCATCTTAGAATTTTACTCTCTTGAAAAAAATGGAGCCCGGACTTCTTGGATGGTCTGTTAGTACAATTAACTGCATAGCAAGCCATATTATTTGATGTATGGTGTATATGTATGAAATAATCCTGAAAACAAGCACAAACACGGCAGAGACCCTAACCGGCTAGAATTAGCTAAGGTGATGTGACAGCTAACAGACAGCAGGTTGCCGCTTGGTTACGCAGCACGTTTTAGCTTCCGTAAGAACCAATGAGGTTTGTTCTCATCTTGTGCGACAAGCAGGTTCGGGTGAGCTTCTGTTTATGTTCGCTGATCAATGTTTATGTGAATAAAATCCTAAATTCAATCTGTTCATCATAAAGTGACCAGGTCTCTTCAGAGAATTTGGAATAAGAAAAAATCATATGGATATGATTTACGAGCTCTTTAAAAACATTTTGAAGCATCAAAATAGTAGTTGCGTAGCTGTCAATGGAGGGACAGAAATCGCTCAGATTTCATCAAAAAGATCTTCATTTGTGTTCGGAAGTCGAACGAGTGTCTTACGGGTTTGGAACGACATGAGGGTGAGTAATTAATGATGACACAATTTTCACTTTTGGGTGAACTATTCCTTTAAATTACAGTTGGGATTGCATTAAACCCAAACTGTTCTGAACTGTGTTCTTAAAGAAGCTGAATAACAAGAACATTGAATAGATAATGAAGGAAGTTCAGCATGCAAAGTGTCAGTTTGCACTGGTGTTAACACAGGAAAAGCTTGTACGGACAATGTGACAACCATAATTGCTTTCAGATAAACCATTCCTTTGGTCTTTACATGCTATTTGGCTCAAATTATGAGGAGAATTGCATACTGGCTCAACCAGTTATGTATCTTTTATGCATTGCTATAGGCTCAAAGTTGATGTGCAGAATAGACAACAGAAATTGAGTATCAGAATGTGCATCTGACCAAATTCTTTTGTCTAATCTGAAGACGCAATGGCAAGCCCGGGCAAAGAAAACTATCGAATGAAGAGCTACAAGAATAAAGCCCTGAACACCCAGGAAATGCGGAGACGGAGAGAGGAGGAGGGAATACAGCTCCGTAAACAGAAGAGGGAGGAGCAGGTTTGCCATCATTGTTTCTTCCTTATTATACAAACACATTAAATTGCATTTGTGTTTATGAAAGATTGGTTGTACATTATGGAATAAAACTGTACATATTGAAGGGTTATATGACTGGATTTGTTTATTTAAAATATCAGTTCTGTGTACATAGGAAATTAAGTTGTTCTACCTTCTCTGTAGCTGTTCAAAAGGAGGAATGTGTGTATACCACCTGGTGATGAGTCCATGCTTGAATGCCCCATTCAAGACCCTGATATCAGCTCCACTGTACCTGTATCAGGTGTAAGTAATCCAGTCAAACACCATTTAAACAATCTTTCCCTTCCACAGATGATTAAACAGTCAAATTCACAGAGAACAGACATACGTGTCAGTACTTTTGCCATGCTTGTTTAATATATATATTATATTTAAATATTTATATTATTATCATAATTTTAAGCATATTGAATTGACTATACGGGCCATTCTACAGAATTGGTGCAAACTGCTGTCCCACAACCAAAAAACACATTTAAAAAGCATTTAAGTATTCAAATCTTAGATGTTTACAAAGATCCTTCTATTATCTATTGAATCCTACAATAATATTTAAAATATCACTAAGGTTAATAAAATCATAATTTATTGGGTACTTTCAATTGGGAGGTGGCTGTCCCGACGAACACTAACCCCTAAATTTCAACTTGTGAAAATGATATTGAAATGTTTATTTTTTTCTCCATTTGTTGTTTTTAAAAATATCTTTTTGATTTCTTTTAAAAAGTGAAGTTAAAAGAGGCTCTCATAGCCTGAAGCCTATCTTTCATCGTAGATAGGTACCATCATTTTGAGGGAAATGTTTAAAAGTCTGAAAATCTGTGTGTAACTTTAAGGAACATCACTACCAAACACCTTTTTTCTGCAATTAAGCAAACTTTTTTGGGTGTTATTCCATAAAATCTAGTTTTTATGTGTGTACAACTGTTCAGAACTGTGCTAGTTAACCATGTGCTGGTTATCATCTTTGAACTAGGCTCAAAAGTGAGGGTTCCCGCGGGGTCTTAAAAGCATTGAATTTATGAATTTGGAAATAATACCTTTAAAAGTCTTGAATTTTGATGTATGGGTCTTAAAAATTGTGTTGTATGTCAGTGTTAATTTCATTGACTAAAATAATAACTTTTCTTCAACGACATTTTTCACTGACGAAAACGAGACGCTACCTAAATAAAACCTAGTTTTGAATGACAAAAACTATGAGGAAAATCTATTGACATTTTCGTCAACGAATAAAAACTAGATGAAAATGTTCGATAGTGTCGATCTGGGAAGCGATCCAGTCAGAACTGATGTCCTACGTGTGTGTGGTAGATGCACACATTTGTACTGTAACGTGCTGATCTACCCCGCGGCCTCATAAAATGTTAAAAATGTAAACTAACCACGCACCAACCCGAAGCGTGCAGCCGTGCGCATATACACCTATACAGTGCGCGGGTACTGCACTGAGCTCTCTTTCGTGTCTGAATGGACAAATACACACAACATTATGTCTAAATGTCCGGTTTGGAGAGTATTCATGTAAACTATGTCGGTTATGTCTTAAACAGTTGTATCGGGTGTGCATCAGTGCAATCGTATCCGCATGTCATTGGACATGAGCCGATGTCTTAAAGTGACAGTGGCAATAAACTTAATGCGGTCTGTGTTATTAATTCTGTTCAAGCAACAAAAGAAAAAGAGAAAAGCATTTACTGTTTGTTAATAGCTTTAATAAGGATTAATTATATTTAATTCATACAAATAATTGTCTGCTTGAAAGAATAAAGAATTATGTATGTAAGTTGTTATAAAGAATGCATATATCATTCATTGAAAAGAAGACTTTTACTTTAGGAAAAGTGGTTTTATTTAATTTTAAGATATATATTTTTTAAGTCACAGTAGTTAAATCTGTATCTGTATTGCTTGTTGAAACTTAAAAAAAAATCATATTAATAAGTTAATATATGTTTTCTCCGGGAGTATATGGGTTTGGAAATTTTAGAGAAATTCTAAATTAACACATTACAATTTACCTAAACCCATTATATTTTAGTCGACTAAATCTACTGTAGATTTAGTTTACAGTTTAGAAAATCTTAAAAAACTAAAATCTAAAATCACTAAAATCTTATTGTATTTCGTCAACTAAAACTAGACTAAAACTAAAACAATTCAGATGACTAAAATATGACTAAAATTATTTTGTCATATTTTTTGTCAAAAGACTAAGACTAAAACTAAATAAAAATTTGCTGTCAAAATTAACACTGCTGTATGTTACTTCTCCGTATTGTATTTTTCCTCACAAGTTTCATTTGTCAACCACGATTATTATGATTTTCGATGTTTATTGTTCAGGGGTCTCTCAGTTCCCCATATTCCCAGCATAGAATAAGTAGCTAGCTAATGTTAAAACACAACTTAACATTGTTCGGCAAACTTTCTTGTGGCCTACTGAAATGTTTTTATTTTTCACACCTGCTTGGCTTATCATCTTTTACCCATTCCACATTTGAAAAATAAATTAACACAAGTTGAAGGATTTTGTTTTTCTTTGCTGGTAGGGACGTGAAATAGGTATTAATTTTTAATATAAATGGTCTTAAAAAGATTTGAATTTAACTTGAAGAAACCTATAGGAACCCTGAAAAGTATCTACAATTGTCACTACCGAAACAGTCACTACCGAAACAGTCACTACCGGAACATGTGGTGAAGTTTCGGTTGTGACATCATGTTTTTTTGGGTGTTATTCCATAAAATCTAGTTTTTTTGTGTGTACAACTGTTCAGAACTGTGCTAGTTAACCATGTGCTGATTAGCATCTTTGAGTTAGGCTCAAAAGTATCTACAATTGTCACTACCAAAACAGTCATGACCAAAACATTCTTTTGTCATTTAATAAATCATTTAATAAAAATTATATTAATATAAATTAATTAAGTCATATATATTTTATACTCCAAAGGCTGCACTTTTTTGCTGCAAAAATACATTTTTAGCAAATATTGTAAAAATAAATAAATAAAAGTTATTACTACCGGTATTTAAAATTAGTTTGTTTTCCATTTTTATACATTTTAAAATGTTGATATTTTATTTTTATATTTTCAATTTTTTTCCTGTGATGAGAGAACTGAATTTTCAGCAGCCATTGCTCTTCAATGTCACATGATCTGTCAGAAATCATTTTGATATGCTGATTTGGTGCGCAAGAAAATGTTCTTCATATACCAATTCTAAACGTGAAACGGTTGTGCTGCTTAATATTTCTGTAGAAACACATTTACATCTTGCATTACAAGACCAACATTGGCACATTTTGTCCATTTTCCTGGTACATTTTAGACCTTTGTAACTAAAAAAGCACATCTAGTATGAACATTATTGTCAATCTGTGCAGGAAGGAGTCATAACCCAAGACATGATTCAAATGATGTTCTCTGAGGATCCAGACCAGCAGCTCATAGCCACTCAGAAGTTCAGAAAGTTACTCTCTAAAGGTTGGTGTCTTCATTCCTAAGTCTCATAGATTCAAGATTGACAATCATTTAAAGATTAAGATGTTATTAATTTCCCTCAGAGCCCAATCCTCCCATTGATGAGGTCATCCTCACACCTGGTGTCGTCAACCGATTTGTTGAATTCCTAAAAAGGAGTGATAACTGCACTCTGCAGGTAAGAACACGTCATATTACAAAGCTAAATTGCCATTACAGCCAAGCTTTAAGATGGGTATTGTTGCTTGTTTTTACCAGTTTGAAGCAGCCTGGGCCCTGACCAACATTGCATCAGGGACCTTCCAACACACCAAGGTGGTCATTGAGACAGGGGCCGTGCCTATCTTCATAGAGCTGCTCAACTCGGATTATGAGGATGTACAAGAGCAGGTGATATTTGCAGATTGTAACCTAGTTCATGCATTTCAGCCAATAGCTGGTTTATCAGATCTCCACAGCAGCATGAAAGTGATCTGTTGTGTATAACTGTTTTTGCAGGCAGTGTGGGCATTAGGAAATATTGCCGGGGATAATGCAGAGTGCAGAGACTATGTCCTCAACTGTGGCATCTTGCCCTCTCTTCAGCAGTGAGTGCCTTCTACTCATCCCAAAACGGCAATTGCATGCGTTTAAATTTGTTGCTTTTAAAGATGTGTATAATACCTGGTGGAAGCTATTCGTTATCTCAATGCACCGTGCACCTGAGACCCGCAGTGACAGCTGCTGTCAGATTCTAAAATGGAGAGTGACTGGAGTGACGCAAGTAGCTTTGCAACAGAGCGGTCATTTGAAGTCGAGGACTTTTCTCCCCCACCTTCACCTGAAGTGGAGGAGGGTGAATTGTCTGTGGACACAGGGCCATATCAATTCGAGCCGCTGGCTCAAACTTAGGGCTGGGCAAAAAAATCGATTTTTCGATTAATCGTTTTTTAAAATGTGGTCGATTCAAAATCGATTCTCAACGGCCACAAATCGATTTTTTCCATATTCAGGGCTCGCGTGCTGCGTCTTCTCACTCTGCACAAGGCAAGCGTCAAGCGCTGCAGGCGTCGATACACACTCGTGTTTAGGAGTCGGGACATGATTCACTTGCACAATCGGGCCAGCATTGCATCGTAACTAACGTTTATCATTTTCACGTCTTTTTTGAAGCAATTTTAAACTATCCTGTGCTCGCGCACTTGTGCATGTTTTTCATTGCGTGCAGCCTAAATCCGCCTCACAACAAACAGCTCGCCAGTAACAAAAGTTATTTTTCGTGGATTATATCGCTTTAACAGTTAAAAACACGCAAAATGATGCCAAAACTCTGGTCTTGGTGAGTAACCTCGTAAAGACAGTCGGTTATGTCTTAAATAAGCATAAAACGCGTGTGACAGACAGTATAATGAAACAGTAATGGATCCGTGCACTAGTTCTTAAAGTGAACGCAGCCATATGTGTCTGTCATTAATTTTGTTGTCAAAACAACATAATATAGCATTAATTGTAAGGAATCAGAATTAATAGCCTATGTATTTAATTCAGTCAGGACTAAAAGACTATCCAGTGTTATCTTACATTGGATTACTTTATTCAGTTTCTGTAGTATTTCTGACCTACCCAAAAACTTTTCTTTTTATGTCTCTTTATTTGTCTTTTTAGGCCTATTCTATTGTATTTATTTGTGCTACTTTTTTCAATTTAATTCAAAGATTGAAATCAAGCTTCCATGTGTTGCATAAACTCTTAACAAACAAATTACCCCATTGTAAAAACAAACATTTAGGTGAGATCAATGTAATAAAAAATTGTCTAAAAAATGATAACTGATATTTAGACTGAGATTTGTATTACATCTATATTCATATAGTCAAATCGAGAATCGAATCAGGAATCGAAATTCGAATCGAGAATCGAAATCGAATCGAGAATCGAATCGAACTGTGAGCTTGTGAATCGAAATCGAATCGAATTTGAACATCTGAATCGATACCCAGCCCTACTCAAACTGCGGTCTTAACTCAAGAATCGCGATCGGCATCTGATGAGTTTTGTCGAGTTGATGTCAATAGCGTGCGCTCTCTGTAGGCATATATTCATATTGATATTTTGCCGCTATGTGAAAAAATCCAGCAAAATGCGCCGGCGCGTTTTTCGACCCCAGAGGATTAACTTTAGCCTAACCATAAATTGTGATTAAAATATACATGATCACTCACATCAAGACACCGCTGCGCGGTGGTGGAGTCCATGCAGTAGGAGCAGTGTTTGGCACTGCGTCGCTTTTCAGCGCGAGCTGTGTGGAGAAGCCCATTTCCACCTCTATTCCGTTACCATCCTGACCACTGTACTAAATACAGATAAATCTACGCTAACTTGAAGCTATCCTAACTGTACTACACTACTAACTAACTAACTAACTAGGCTACACAAAATAATCGAAATAACTATATAAATGCTATGCTAAATAGATGCTAAAATACTCTATCCTGATAGTTTTCAATACTCGTAATTCCAACTCTTGACTCACAGTGGTTTTGACGAAACAAGATGGTTTTTATACTGCCATGGGCGTGGTGAGCTCGTACCTGCTTACGTCAGCTCTCACCGCTTACATCACGAAGCACCGCAAACATCCAATAGGAAAATTCAACTGCAGTAGCCACCGTTCAACCTGAAGAGGGCAGCACTCAGACGTTTTTACACCATATATTGTAGAATTAAAACACTTTATACCCAAATGTCAAAAAAGTTACTCGAATCAATAATCAGCACTAATAAAGCCCCATTCTTACAGCTCATTAACTAAAAACAGTTGGTTTAGGGTTTAGTTACCCTTTAAAGGAGAACTCCGGCGCAAAATGAACCTTTGGTCTAATTACACATTGTTACCTAGTCAACCGTTATCTGAGATTTGTTTTCATGATTATCGAATGTAAATAGTTTTATCTCTAAAAACAGTTTAGCCTATAAAGCTAGTATAACGCTAGTATATTGGGCATAGTGTAATGACAAATAAAAATCGCTTGTTAATACCACTAACAAGGCTCAAAATAGCCCCACACTAACACGGTAGCATAATGAGGGTCCCTACCTTCAAACCGAAGCATTGAGAACTTTGTCAGTGTCCAGACAGTTTAATAAGAAGATATTTTAAACATAGTCAACTTCGCGTATACAGGCAGAAGCCATCTTTGAAATACAGTCTTTACCAGTCGATCTACGAACGCCGATCCAAGTGCGCTGGTGAGAATGTGAACGAGCTATAAGTTGTGATAAGGTGAGCGCGAACAGCAGGCTTGGATCGGCGTTCGTAGATCGACTGGTAAAGACTGTATTTCAAAGATGGCTTCTGCCTGTATACGCGAAGTTGACTGTATGTTTAAACTTTAAAAGCGCGCATTTGTCTAGGTTAACATTAATGTTAGAGCTATCGGCCATGTTAACTTTAGGCTGCTACTTGCTTGTTTCCAATGATAAGCCATGCCTGAGGTTGATGAATGTTAGGCGAACGTTTGGATTTCCTGCCACATGGACCAGCCATGTTAGAGAACTGACTAAAAAAATCATGGAATCTCTCCGTGTTCAAAGAATTTAAATCTTGTTGGTTGAAGTCTTTTGATTAGGAGCCTTGTCCTTATAAGAACAGTGGACACTGAATAAACCTCACTTCCTCATGTCATTCTGATGTTTCCCACTCTCAAATTGCTGGTGTGTGCTTTGTGACTTGAGATGGTGTGCTTATGTTTCACTGTGCTATTGGTTTTTTTTTTTCAGAGGTAGTGTGTCTGTTACATAAGATTTTCCCAATGACCGCCATCTAGTGGTCTGATTGTGTAGCACATCGGTTTTATTTTCCCCCAATCCCCTCGTCTCTGCAGGTTGCTTGCCAAATCAAATCGGCTCACTACCACCCGGAACGCCGTGTGGGCACTGTCCAACCTGTGCAGAGGGAAAAATCCACCTCCGGACTTTGCAAAGGTGAGTTCGCAAACCAGTTCTAGATAAACCACATTCTAAATGCATAGTTATCAAATTTCAGTCATGCACACAAACACACTCTTTGTCTTAACAAGCAGTTTTCCTCTGTAAACATGATCATATACTTGACTAAGCAAATGCTCCTTCTACACAGGTGTCACCCTGTCTGAGCGTGCTCTCCAGATTGCTCTTCAGCAGTGATCCTGATGTTCTTGCAGATGCCTGCTGGGCACTTTCATATCTGTCAGATGGACCCAACGACAAAATCCAGACAGTTATTGACTCGGGCGTGTGCCGCAGGCTGGTGGAGTTGCTCATGTGAGGAACAGGCATGCTAACACAAGAAATAAACCTTGTAGTATCTGTTTTACCACTGACTTTGGCATTAAATCCATGTGTGTTGGCCATTCACAGGCACAGTGATTACAAAGTGGTGTCTCCTGCACTGAGAGCGGTGGGGAACATTGTAACAGGAGATGATATTCAGACCCAGGTAGTGTAGCTCCTTTGTGACATGCTAAGTTGTCCACATAGAGTAAAAAAAATAGGAGCAGTTTTCTGATCTGTTGTGCTGCTCTGTCCCATGTCAGGTGATTCTGAACTGCTCCGCTCTGCCCTGCCTGCTCCATCTACTCAGCAGTCCGAAGGAATCCATCAAAAAAGAGGCCTGCTGGACAGTCTCCAATATCACTGCTGGGAACAGAGTGCAAATCCAGGTGCTTCAGCCACACTGTGACGCTAGAAGATTATTACACAACACATTGTGTCTGAACATCTGTGGGTTGATGCTCTTTCTGTTGCAGGCGGTGATCGATGCCAACATATTCCCAGTGCTAATCGACATTCTGCAAAAAGCCGAGTTCCGCACCAGGAAGGAGGCCGCGTGGGCAATAACCAACGCCACCTCGGGAGGCACGCCAGAGCAGATGAGGTGCACTGTGGGCTCTTTTGCTTAGCTTTTTACCTCATTCAAGGAATTTGAAAGGATTAATTCTGATTGAGGAGGACTCATTGCCGTTCATTATTTTTCGAATGTTGATCTTAGTTTGCTTATGTAACGCATGCTAAACCACCCACATGCTGCCTCAGGTTATCATTACCCATAATCTGTTTTAAGACAGGACTTGAAGAGCTTAGTAATTATAAGGGGATTTGCGTTAGCAGTAACAGTCATTAAACCACTGAGTAGGATCAAAGTGCATGATACATTTATGGCCATTAGATGGCAGTAATAGTCAGATCAGCAGACCATCATTTAAGGTGTTATTTTTTTATATATATATTTTATATATATATATATATATATATATATATATAGTTATATATATATATATATATATATATACAATATTTTTTGTGGTAATGTAAACACTAGGGCTGCCAATTTAACACAATCATTTACTTCACTTAAAGCTGCAGTAGGGAGTTTTGAGAAAACGTTGACTTAGCCTGAAAATTTGAACAAGCACAACTTACAGGTCCCACCCCCTTGCTCTCTGCTGCGCTACAGCCCTCCCTCCACAGCTCGTCCTCCACAGCGGAGCCTGCCGTGAACGCGCAGGCTAGTAAACAGGGCCACCCATAACGGTGGATAAAAAGTTATGGCACATTCACTAATAGGGACTAAACGTCAATAATATGCTTTACATTGACTATGGCCTGCCCATACTTTGACTACAAACTTGGTCCTCAAATCATTATGTATTTTGCAATAGCCTACATGTAACTTTATAACGTTGCACTCTTTCTATAAGTTATAAATAGCTAGTAAGATAATGTTAATATAACGGTAACTAACGTTACAGTATGTAAGTAATTACTCTAGCGATATATAATGCTAGATAAGGTGTGCTAGTACATTATTTCAGCAACATGACAAGCCAGTGAATTAGCAGGTTTCAATTGTTGCTTAGCAGAGTGCGTGACATTTTATCTACATGTTATGCGGCTAGAGTTTTGACACCGAGTCAATGGGCTCTGTGTAATTCTTTCTTTTTCGCTTGTTTATCGTCATCGGTCTTTTTCCTTTTACCTCTTTGTTTTATGAGCAGTTGTCACTCGAGAATTGGCAGTTTAGGTTGTTTCTCCGTCATAAGCACAGCTGGAGCTCGCCGGCAATCTTGAGTTTGAACGACGGCTCGCGCTGTGCAAGAGAGGGGTGTGATCAGTGCGTACACGAGCGTGATTGACACTGCTAAGACATTCCTCCTGGCTCTGATTGGTTGTTTCTGACCGGGAGCGTGTATTTCTTGCAAATGGCAATAGGACCACTGGGAGGAGCCAGAGGAGCTTGATTTTTACACCGATTATCTGTCTCATATTCTACTGTCAGGACATAATGACAGTTTTAGCAAATACATTTTTTCAAAAGTTACCTACAGCAGCTTTAATAATAAAAACATGAACACTATTAATCATGTTAAAATGCAGTAAAAAAATATATATATATGAGATAAATATATATTTATATAAAATATTTTTTTTTTTAATCTGATGTTCCAAAAAGTCCTAAATTACTATGTAGTACTTTTCCCCCTCTCATTTAGATATGTTATATTTAACCCTACATATACATTATAGGAGAGAAAGCTATGTGTTCTGGGGTTTAAAGGATACTTTTTAAATGGTTGTAATGTTTTGTTTTACACACAGGTACTTGGTTTCTCTCAACACCATAAAGCCCATGTGTGACCTGCTCACGGTGATGGACTCCAAGATTGTGCAGGTGGCTCTGAACGGTCTGGAGAACATTCTTAGACTGGGAGAACAAGAGTCCAAACAGAACGGATCGGGCCTCAACCCTTATTGTGCCCTCATTGAAGAGGCTTACGGTAGGCATGCGTCACCTCATACTTTGTCACCTTATGCATTTTTTTATTTTTAGAAATTGTATTTATAACTAATTATTGACTAATTAGTCAATAATTAATAATATATTATTGAATATATTAAATATTTGTAATTAAGTGTAAAATATTTACTTTTGTGAGCAATTGAATCTTTAGAAAATTATTTAAATCATTATCCAATAATCTGAAGCAACTGGAAAACTAATGGAAATGTATTATTAAAAGAGGTGTGGGAACAACATGATTATCAGATTGGTGGTGGTGGATATTATTATATTTTATACTTGAAAACATTATTATTGTTAGTTATAATTATATTATTATTAAACAATAGCATATTTGTGTTTGAATAGCTGCTGGTTTTTGCAAGCCAAATTTATTATTATTTTTATTATGTAAACATTTGAATTGTCATGCTTTTCATTCATGCAAACACTTCTTGTTTTCCCCTCCACGCTGTTTGTTTAATTGTTTCTATTTTGACTGATGTTCCCCCTCAGGCTTAGACAAGATTGAGTTCCTGCAGAGCCACGAGAACCAGGAGATTTACCAGAAGGCCTTTGACCTGATCGAGCACTACTTCGGGGTGGAGGAGGAAGACGCTAGCATCGTTCCCCAGGTGGATCAGAATCAGGGCCAGTACATTTTCCAGCAGCCCGAGGGACCGATGGAGGGCTTCCAGCTCTAACCCGTACACCTATGCTACTGGCCAGTCTTCAGGCCTTGCTTCCTCCATCCTGCTTGGAGTCTCCTCTCCCTCCCTCTCTGCAGCGCAGGAACTCCGCTCCAGCCTCGCTCAAAGACACGGAGGCCCGGACCCGCTACTCGCAGCAGAGATGACACCTGCGCCCCCCCAAACCCAACCCACTAAATCTTCTATTTCCATCCTGCCCATCTTCCAAGCTCTTTTATCGAGAGAGAAGATCTGTGAGGTGAACCAAGGAGGGCAAAGCTCAGAGTCTGTAGTTTAAGTCCAGTTGAGACTTACAGAAAGCATCTTGCTTTTATTATTATTGTTGTTGTAGTTATTATTAGACATTGGCACTGGTGTCCTGTAAAGTAAACTTTACTCCATGTCCCTTGAGAAATGTGAAACTACCTCTTCAATCAGAAAACAAATTGTTTGACAAACACCCAGCCTTTAGTTCTGACAGTTCTCTTCTCTTGCTAAGCAAATGCTTCTATGCAAACAAATATGTAATTGAGGTGGTAGAAACCATAAAGGTCTATTGTAGTGTTTGGCCAGACAGAGTAACTAATGTATTTGCATTGATACATTTGCATTGGATGTATTCCTTGACTTTGTGTTCCATCACACCCATCCACAATGCATCCATCCTGAGGGCATGTCAAGCCTAGTTACACTATTTATTTTGGCGTTTTGTTAACTAGCAGCAAACTGCTGACCTTGGAGATCCATAGCCGTATTTATTGTGCTATTTGGAAGGAACCGGCCTGTGGGCTCCGGCTGTTGGGAGACCAGCACATAGCCCACTTCCTCTCAGCACCCACTTTGCTAATGCTGTTAATGCATTAAAAGCGTCGCATGAAATTATTTAAGTGTGGTCACGTGATCACCAAGATGCAGTTGTTTGTTTGTATGTATGCATATCATTGGGATTCTCGTCTCACCTGAAGGTGTTTCTTTTTGTGCTGACTGGCTTTAATTTGATTTATTTAATGTCACATGTTAGAAAGTGTTGAGATGTAGTGAAATGTGTATATTATATATACATTGAGGATAGGAGGAAGTTTTTTAGTGAAATGGTCTTGGTGTGCAGTGAAATATTAATATAAGGAAAGCGTCTTTTATAGCATTCTTCATTCAAAGAACTTTCACATGTCCCCCACTAGTGCTCAAAAATTCCTTTGAGGAACTTAAAATATTCTTTAATATTTCTTTAATGTATAAATTCATTTTTTTAGTCGCTTCAACTGAATTTTACATCCAGAAGATTGCCTTTGTCATGAAACCTGTCTGGCACGAAGTTCCTCTGTTCTTTGTTTTTGGTGTGATTATTTACTTCCTCTAGCTAGTGTTCTGCCCGTGAATCACTTGCACCCATTTTCCTTTGAAACAAGTTTGATCCAAATAAGAGTTATAATAATGGAAAGTCAGTATATTTACAAAAAAATCATTGAGATTGTAAAATGAAACTTTATCAAGCACATTCAATTGTGTATAGTTTTGTAAAATTTCTCATGTTTGTACAATGTTTTCTAAGTTTGGGTTGTTGTTTTTTTTGCATATGAAAAAAAAAACCCATCTGTGTTTTAAGTTATCATTGGTACAACCCTTCAGTATAGAGGAGAGAGGAGATCATTGCTTTCCTCAAGGACAAATGTTGGTATTGTGTGAAATAATGTAGACAAATAAAATGTTCTGTTACACATTTAAATAAGTGTACTGTGGTTTAATTGAGCAATAAGGTGCAGAAGTCCTTGCTGAATACACTCACCTAAAGGATTATTAGGAACACCTGTTCAATTTCTCATTAATGCAATTATTATCTAATCAACCAATCACATGGCAGTTGCTTCAATGCATTTAGGGGTGTGGTCCTGGTCAAGACAATCTCCTGAACTTCAAACTGAATGTCAGAATGGGAAAGAAAGGTGATTTAAGCAATTTTGAGCGTGGCATGGTTGTTGGTGCCAGACGGGCCGGTCTGAGTATTTCACAATCTGCTCCGTTACAGGGATTTTCACGCACAATCATTTCTAGGGTTTACAAAGAATGGCGTGAAAAGGGAAAAACATCCAGTATGCGGCAGTCCTGTGGGCAAAAATGCCTTGTTGATGCTAGAGGTCAGAGGAGAATGGGCCGACTGATTCAAGCTAATAGAAGAGCAACTTTGACTGAAATAACCACTCGTTACAACCGAGGTATGCAGCAAAGCATTTGTGAAGCCACACGCACAACCTTGAGGCGGATGGGCTACAACAGCAGAAGACCCCACTGGGTACCACTCATCTCCACTACAAATAGGAAAAAGAGGCTACAATTTGCAAGAGCTCACCAAAATTGGACAGTTGAAGATTGGAAAAATGTTGCCTGGTCTGATGAGTCTCGATTTCTGTTGAGACATTCAGATGGTAGAGTCAGAATTTGGCGTAAACAGAATGAGAACATGGATCCATCATGCCTTGTTACCAATGTGCAGGCTGGTGGTGGTGGTGTAATGGTGTGGGGGATGTTTTCTTGGCACACTTTAGGCCCCTTAGTGCCAATTGGGCATTGTTTAAATGCCACGGCCTACCTGAGCATTGTTTCTGACCATGTTACCACTGTGCAGGCTGGTGGTGGTGGTGTAATGGTGTGGGGGACGTTTTCTTGGCACACTTTAGGCCCCTTAGTGCCAATTGGGCATTGTTTAAATGCCACGGCCTACCTGAGCATTGTTTCTGACCATGTCCATCCCTTTATGGCCACCATGTGCCCATTCTCTGATGGCTACTTCCAGCAGGATAATGCACAATGTCACAAAGCTCGAATCATTTCAAATTGGTTTCTTGAACATGACAATGAGTTCACTGTACTAAAATGGCCCCCACAGTCACCAGATCTCAACCCAATAGAGCATCTTTGGGATGTGGTGGATCTGGAGCTTCATGCCCTGGATGTGCATCCCACAAATCTCCATCAACTGCAAGATGCTATCCTATCAATATGGGCTAACATTTCTAAAGAATGCTTTCAGCACCTTGCTGAATCAATGCCATGTAGAATTAAGGCAGTTCTGAGGGCGAAAGGGGGTCAAACACAGTATTAGTATGGTGTTCCTAATAATCCTTTAGGCGAGTGTATAGTCTACTTTCTTGTGAAGCGCAGCCTCGAGTCAGGACCAAAAACGGTTTTAAACAATTGAAGATTAATTGGAGATACATTTTGCATTTCAAAAAGTTAAAGGACAAATTCGGTATTTCGGATTCTCGGGCTGCTGGCCATCAGCATGTGTCCAAATTTCAATCTTAACCGTTCTATTTCATCAGAAACGATCTTAAAACAGGGCTTTAAGTGTAAAATACCGAACTTGTCCTTTAAGGCAAAAACTGTTCACTAACAAAAATTCTTTCCAGTATCTTATTGTAAACGTATTCAATTTTAAAGGAACACTCCGACTTTTTGGGACTTTAGCATATTCACCTTATCCCCAAGAGTTAGATAAGTCCATACATACCTTTTTCATCTCCTTGCGTGCTGTAACTCTATCTGACGCACCCACCGCTAGCCTAGCTTAGCACAAAGACTGGATGTAAATGGTTGCAGCTAGCATACTAATCCAAATAAGTGACTATACAAATCACAACGTGTAAATAAAAAAATGTTTGCGTTATTTTGTCACTTATTTGGATTAGTATGCTAGCTGCAACCATTTACATCCAGTCTTTGTGCTAAGCTAGGCTAGCGGTGGGTGCGTCAAACAGACTTATAGCACGCACGGAGATGAAAAAGGTATGTATGGACTTATCTAACTCTGGGGGATAAGGTGAATAGGCTAAAGTCCCAAAAAGTCGGAGTGTTCCTTTAATAATTCAGTGCTTGCACAACACGTTACTTTTTTCTTTTTTTTTTACTTTTAACGAAAAAGCTGATTTCTTTATACAGTAGAAGTCAACATTGGAAGTGGATCAAAATAGTTAATCAAAGTTGTCCTAAGACAAGAACGGGTATAATTCATGTAGAACTTTGGTTAAAGGTTTTGATCCACTTTAAATGTTGACTAGTATTGTTTGTCAGCTCTGTTACTGTGAAATGACTTACATTCAACATTGTTACTCTATAGCTTGGTTTACCGGTAACAGAATTTACCATTTTAAACTTTTTAGCCAAAAACTGCTAATTTAAATGCTAAGAGCACATGGCACTAATGAAACCATGATTAAAAGACTTTTAAACAACCCACTGTGTGATCTGTGATAAATTCTGTTTTCCTTTTGATATTGTGGTAACAATTTTGACATTTTAATAAAACTCTTAGGGGCGGTTTCCCGGACAGGGTTTAAATTAAGCCAAGAGTAGGCATTAATCTAGAATAGTTAATCGTGTCTTAAAAAATGGCTTTCTGTAACACAGATTAAGTACAGATTAGTTACACCTGGACTATGGAGTCCTGAAGTAAAATATACCAGATTAAATTAAAACCAACTGTGCTAATCTGAATTAGCTTGACAGAGGTTGCCTATAAAACATGGAATGAACCAGGAAAAACTTAAAATCGCATGGAACTGAGAAGTAAATCCAAGGAAAACAATGGCATCAGAAAAAGACTGCAATAAAAAAAAATTACTAACAAGAGAAAATTATTTTTAAGCAAGCTAAATAATCTGCACACACCAGCTATGGAATAAAAGAAAAGAAATCCCGAAAAAAAAAAAAAAAAAAAAAATATATATATATATATATATATATATATATACAGGTCCTTCTCAAAAAATTAGCATATTGTGATAAAGTTCATTATTTTCCATAATATAATGATACAAATTAAACTTTCATATATTTTAGACTCATTGCACACCAACTGAAATATTTCAGGTCTTTTATTGTTTTAATACTGATGATTTTGGCATTCAGCTCATGAAAACCCAAAATTCCTGTCTCAAAAAATTAGCATATCATGAAAAGGGTCTCTAAACGAGCTATTAACCTAATCATCTGAATCAACTAATTAACTCTAAACACCTGCAAAAGATGCCTGAGGCTTTTAAAAACTCCCAGCCTGTTTCATTTCTCAAATCCGCAATCATGGGTAAGACTGCCGACCTGACTGCTGTCCAGAAGGCCATCATTGACACCCTCAAGCAAGAGGGTAAGACACAGAAAGAAATTTCTGAACAAATAGGCTGTTCCCAGAGTGCTGTATCAAGG